TAACTTTTGTTTTTGGGGGCTTAAAAAAGTCAAAAACTTCTCTCATTACAAAATAGGAACAAAGAAGAAGAAAAAAAAAAAAAAAACAACAAAAGGAGTTGTAATCTTTGGACATTTTTGCATGCTTTTGCTTTGCTTTCCCTCTTTCTCATCAAAAGCATAAAAAACAGTAAAAAAACCTTTCTTTTTTTTTTCGTTTTCTGTCTTGCTTGCATTTGCCCATCCCAAATTTCAATTACAAGTTATGTTTTGGATATTTACATTTTCACCCCATCAAGTTATGAGAATTTCACTATACCCACTCTTTCTTTTGTTTAAGGGCCTTCTCCAACTCTCTTGTTCCAACCACCAAAAGGTTCCTTTCAACAGATGTCCAATTTGAAGAGTTGGAAGGGAGAGTAATAAAAGACCTTATAAGAGTCAAAATTTTTCTTTCATTAGGATTAGCACTCTCTTTCAATGTGTTTTTTTTTCCCTTTTTTTTTTAATTAGTGATTTTCAATCAATCTATCAAAATAATCCATAAGCAGTTCCTCACCCAAAAGAAAACGAAGTTTTTGATTATCATTTACTCCAAATTGATGACATGTATCAATCAAAGAAAAATACAGTTCAAAAGCTTTCATGATGGTTGTCTATGACATTTTATTAGATAAAGACCATATTAATTAAATAATTTTTTATGATTATCACAACACTATCAATTCATTTGAGAATTCGAGATTTCGATTATTAAACACATCTTTTGATATTGTAAGAATCTTATAATTGACGCCAAATGAAGTTTATATATACTATTTTTATAAAATATCAAGATGTAGATTAAATGGCATAAATTGTTGAAATCTAGGAAGATATCAAAAAGCTTGGCTGAAGAAGAAGAAAAAAAAGCAAATTATTTTCCGAAAAAACTACTTGCCCTCGTTTTTTTAGTTTTCATTTTCAACAATTATCACAAGTTGCAACAAGGCCAACCACACCTGCTTTTACAGGCACTTCACCATAAGCATTATACTACATTATTGAAAACAATGTCTATTTGTCTATGAATCAAATCGGGGTCCAAAAGGATGTCCAGTCCTAGAGATTGATTAGGAGCTATCAACACCACAAATCCAAGAGAATATCATTGCCCTTTTGCAAAGAGAAAGCATTAAAAATTAGTTTGGCAATTGACTATTCGCTGAAAAAGAAAAAAAAAAAAAAAGCTTGTATGAGAGACAAAATTGATGGAATTTGACCTAATTTGATTCCACAAAGTTGGGATTTCTTTTTTTTTTTTTAGATTGTTTTAAGGTCCAGTTGTGTGCTTCATCACTACTTCAATGCATGTTAGGCCATCAACGAAGAGGTTCACAAAAATAATTGATATTTGAAAATTATAAATTTAAAAAAATTTATGCGGATAATATTTTCTTCAATCATATATATATAATACAATAAAAAAAATTTAAAAATAAATTAAATATTAAAAAAAATCGACGAATAAAAGGAAATTAATGAATATTTTCCTTATCTACAAACTCTGCATATACCTTTTCTCCTAATTTTCAATTCATTAATTCATTTATTTTGGAATTTACATTTTTTCCTTTTGACAAATTAAATATGTTTCTCTGATTTTTCTGGAAATCTCAGGGAAAGAGTACTCAGAAACAATATATTTAGAATCAGCAATTGCATAATATGCCTTAACCTCATAGAAAAATAAAAGCTACATAAAAAAAGAAAGCGGGGGAATTAAGATAGATGGATTTCCTTATGATTCCTTAGTTTCAGTTGGTTCTCATTTCCCTGTCTTATATAATTCATCCCTTCTGTTTTCTTATCAATTACTTGACCAGATTCCATGCATTCTTCTTTGGCATTTTTGACCAACTTTTCATCTTTTACATGTATATGACAAACAGAATGAAAGCGTCTAATTAGAAGCCAATTATTCATTTTCATAGTCACTCTTATGAGACTTAGACTGGTCCAAGGGCGATTTGGGCAAAGAAATTTAAAATCTGAATCTAGTTTGATTCAATTCAAAATATTTTTATTTAATTTTAATTTTAAAATGTATCTAAAAAACATTAAAACTTTTAATGTTTTAATGTATTAAAGGATATGGGCATTCATTTCTTTTTTAAGTTGTACTTATAGTCAAATATTAAATTTTAAAAATATATATTATATTTATAAAATCAATTGAATAATTAATTATTATGTTATATTTAAGTTATAATTATTGTACAATCAATTAACAAATTATAATATAATTAGACAGTTAAACTTATACAAAATGAGATTTGAATTTAATATTTCACGTTCATTTTTAAATTTAACATTGAGAACTAAATATAAATGTGGAAGAATTTAACCTCAATTTGAAAACGGTTGAATATATTATTCTATGCTAAATGTAATCTTTATTGGCCACTCTCTCTTGCATTAGAGTGTAGAATCTCCAATTCTAAAAATGACTTCATATATAAGCAGCCTAATTAGTTACCAACTGCCACCGCTTAATCCTCCAAAAGAAAGCCTAAAATCAGGCAGAAAAAAATGGCCTCCTGACCCACCCTTTGAAATGTCTAAATATTCCTCCTTACCAGATGATCAATTTGTCTTTAGACAAAATTAATGGTTAGATCAAGTTATATATATTCATTAATCCAATACAAAGCTACCCTATTTTTTAAACAGGTTTATCTCGATTTTTTAATAACTAAAAATTAATTTCTTTTTAACCAAAAATATATATAAATTAAAGTTCGATTCTCAACGCTTATAATTTTTTTTAATCTCTAAAGTTACGGGCTCTCTTATATCCAAAAAAAATTATTTAGTTTAAGAAAATTTCCCTTTTTAATCTCCTTAAACTGCGGTTTTTCTTGAAAAATCATTTAGTTTAAGAATTTTTCAGCCATATAGCTATACTATAAGAATAGCATATATATATATATATATATTATGCATCTAATGAAAGTGATGGAACCTGAAAATCCTGGATTGGTTGATTGGGACCACAAATTCATATATTTTCCGTATAGTAAGTAGTATGTACATTCATTGTCAAGATATGATTTTCTAACGACCCTTTACTGACTAACAACAATAATCCAAACATTCAAATAATTATCTTAGGAATGTTGCTCTCAAAGGAAAAATATATATATATAATTATAAAATTATAGTAATTAGTAGAGGTCGCTTTTCTCACTCCGTCAATCGATTTTCTTCCTGAAAGTAATACATTTATTAATAATGTTGAAATATAATTTGTCTTCAAATAAAATCAAGAAATAAGCAATTAAAGTATTAATTTATACTTTAATTAACTTTTTTTTTTAAATAAATAAACCATTAGCGCCTTTTGGCTTTGCCAATTCGAATGATGCATTTGTTATTATACTCATAAAATAATGGATACTTTTATGTAGTAATAACCCATAACTCATGTAAGTCTCCCATTTCCATCAAGAGATGAAAATATCTGAAGTTTCTTTGGGTTGCAATACCAATAGCAAGAAATGAGTGGGAATATATGTAATTACAATTCATATTTCAAAAAGAGAATAATCTGAACAGTATTTAAGGATAATCTAAACAGTGTTTTGCCTCTCAAATTTCGTCACTTTCCTCGTGTAAAAAGCAATGAAAAGGTCAAAAAGAAGAACAAAAGACAGCCCAAAGCTTGTAGAGGTGGGAGGTGGGAGGTGGTGCTGCCACTTTGTGATTAATAATTTATGATTACCCACCACCCCTTTCCGGGTAGGGTCCTTGAGAGGGTTATCATTAATGGGGGCCAAAGTGGGATCCATTCCCATATAATTTACCTTACTTGGTATCATTTGATATGATATCTTCCACTACCACCACCGTTCCTTTCATGTTCATCAATTCATGTAGACAGGAACAATTTTTTTTTTTTTTTTTTGGGTTCATTTCAAGTCAAATGTCTTCAAACCATGTCTGGCATGAAAATGGTCAATCCTCCCGTCATTGAAGACATGGCCATGCATGGAACTATATGGAAGGCAATGGAGATTGGAGAGAGGAAATGTTGGAATTAATCTTGATCTAAACAGACAAAAATTTTACCTAAACGATATCACCTAACCTATAATGAAGCAACCAACAAAAGAAAGACATGAAAATATGCAAGTTTACTGTTTGAAAAGAAACACATATTGATGAATGGACCTCGAGTCATATCATCACTATTTGGCACGCGTTTCTGCCTATTTTCAAGTCATTGTTTCAAAGACAATATTATTATGGCATCCTATGTTACAACAAAATGTTACAGGGATTTGAAACATTGAATTGTAGTAATGAAAGTCCAAAAATTATCAACCACCCAAATTGTTATCATATACGTAAGAGTTAACAGTCGATTTTTCTTTTTGTTTTTTATATATAATTTTTTAATTCCAGAGTCGAGATAAGCCCATTGTTGGCCTAGAGGAAGACGAGCATGGTGACCCATTTCCCTCCCAAAGCATATCCAACTAATGTTGTACTCATGTTGGCCCAATGATATGTTGGGCAGACCATTACATTTGCAACAACAATGTACCATCCCAATTCCCATTAAGCAGAATGAGGCAATAATCTCTCTTTGTCTTCTTCCCGTCCATAGTCTCCAACATGTTCTATGCTGGGCCATACCACTAAAATGTGAGGGAAATGGGAAACGAGCCCATCCCCTTCACTATTTTTATTTAATGATGATAAATATATTTTTAATTAAATTTATGATTAAAATTTAATAATTATTTTTATATAAACACGCCTAAAAAAAAGAAACGCAAAAGGTTGCATTTACTTTATAAAAGGGGTAATATACTAAGGCAAATTAATCTCTTACGGATTAAGAACTTATCTATTTATTTATTTTTAAAATTAAAATAAATTATTTAATTTTTTAAATTAAAAAATATCGTACCTAATAATTTAAAATAAATTAAATAAATGAATCGTAATAATTTTAACAAATGACCGTAATTCAAATCAAAGTCGAAGTAGACGAGCCTTTGACCGATTAAACCTATTTAAATTTTTACTCGACTGAACTCTCTGGAAAAGCATCCCAAGCCGAAAGCTACGACCAGACGACGATGAAGCTGTCATCGTGGTTTCACCGCAGTGTCTCAAGGAACAGTAAAAACAATAAAAACGCAGAACAACTGCAATCCACCCATTCTGACCAGAATCAACAAAACCAAGAAGAAGAAGAAGAAGAATTGCTTGGAGTAACCCAACAATTAATCGATCATGTCAAGTCCTTCACTTTAGAAACCTTCAAGAATTTCCCTCTCCAAGGTACCCTCCACTCTCCCCTCTCTTCCGCTCTTGAAATTCTAAAAGAAAATTTTGTTGATTGAAACTTTTGGTGTTCAGATAATGAGGCAGCTAATTCTAACAGTGAAACCCAAACTTCTTCTAATGTACGCAAGGATCTTTCTGATTGGCAAGAGCGGCATGCTGTCTTAGTCCTTTCGAAAGTGAAGGTTTGGAATTTTCCTTTTTAACCCTTTTTTCCTGTTTCTAGTAATTTATATTTATAGTTTTCTTCTTTTTTCCAGGAACTTTCACAGCTTAGATTTAAGCTATGCCCTCGCCACTTGAAGGAGGACAAATTTTGGAGGATATATTTCATGCTTGTCAAGAGCCATGTGGCTGAGTAAGTTTTACAACATTTTTTTTCTTTTTCAATTTCTTCTTTTTCATAATAATTATAAATTTATAACAAGGAACCTGTCAATATATTGTTAGTTTGTGGATTTGAACCTGTGGCTGAGTGACCGAGCCGATGAGGCTTGATCCCATGAGAAAAGAATGTGTTTAGATGCTTATATTGTCTTCCTCTCATCAGATATGTTTGCATATTTCATAAAGAAAACGACCCTTTGGTTGAAACATTTGCCTACACATTGATAGTATATCAAACTTCCCTTCTGTGAAAAATTACATCTTGAATTGCTCTCTACTTGCCCTCTGTTTGATGATACATGATTTTACATATTGCTCAAAATTGCATTGCAACAAAGCTAGTTATTGAGTTGCTGTACATTCAACCCTGGTTCTTCTTCAGTATGATGTAGTAATAGCTGTTTGGAGATTTACCACAAGGATGCTACGTAGATCTCTAGAATGTAACACCATGATTTGGATATTGTTATGACTTCGAGAAGGCCTAAGGGGATCTATGATTTTGTTTGCTGGGCTTGCCCCTGAAGGTTGTTATACAGATTCTCATTTGAGTACAACTTTTAGGAGAATTCTTATATTTGGCAAACAATTTGTGCCTCAAACAAGTAAAATAAAATGGCAGGAGATGTAATTTTGCCTGTTTTAAAGTCTGCAATAGTTTTTGCAATGCTTTCTGCTTGATTATGGTGATTTCTTTGCTGTCTTTGAGCTTTTTTTTTTTTCTTAATAAAAGTGACAAATCCTGATTAGCCTCCTATTGCACCAAAAGATATACTTGGTCTTGCATGAGTAATCGTGTAGGAGATAGGCAGTTTTGTTACATAAAATTGTGAAAAAAATATGAAAATGAAGTCCTGAGTTGAGTCCAACTCATTTGAAATATTTAAAGAGAGACTGCATTGTGGGAGACCAATGTAGCCAGTTGCATTATATATATTTAGATGACCGTCTTATGTCCTTAATTGTGCTACGCAAACCATATTTTACAAACCAGAGAATTTAATTAGATGGTGAATTTTGGGGGAAAAAAAAGAAATAAGTACTAAATTAACTGTAACAATATTATGGTAATAATGGGGATCCTCAGTTTAATTGTGAGCTTTATCATCTATAAACCTGAACAAGCCAATGCATTCTGTTGCAAATTGAATAAAAAAAAAGGTAGATAATTCTTTTTGTATGTTTGTGTGTTTTGTCGAGGACGGAGGGGGACAGCATTGGTTTAAACAAAGAATGGAACTCTTAAAAAAAAATGAAGAAAGGAACTGTAATGCCTATAATGGGCATTTATCCCCATGATTACTAGCAATTCTATCATTTGTCGTCATTACTCCTGCTTACTTATCTCCTCTAGTAAATTTTAAACATTTTGACCACCCACTTTTTCACCTTTATTCTTTATGTCACCAACTAAAGAAATCTGCTAGTTCTCCGCAAAATTAACACCGACACTGGGCCAACAACACACCACTACCGTTGCTGCATTGCCGCTGCTACCAAATGACCAACACCATGTTCTTTTTTCTAGTTTGATTGATAACTTACCATCATCTCTGCCGCATTAGCATTACCACAGCAGCTACATCTTCATAAAATTCAACTCCTTTTCTGGACTAACAGCTAACCTCTATTTTCCTAGAGAATGCATTGTAAGGGTTCCCAAAATGCTTTAGCATTGGAAAAGTTTCTTCACCATCAAGTGTCACAGTGGATCTTTTTGGTTGCACATGACTTGACAGCGCCAGCATAAGAATCTTTTCAGTAATTGGCAGTATTCTTTTTCTGGATAAGGATTTTTGAGTCTGTCATATTGGCCACATGTACGGACCAGCTCTCTGACTCACAGTGTTGCTAATATTTATTTCCTATACTTATCTTCTTTTTCATTTTTATATTTTATGAAATCGTGATCAAGATTTAGAAACATAAGCAGATTGCTTTGAATATCAACCATGATCATTGCTTATTTTTTCAATTGCATTGGATTTTGAACTTTTACTCACTTGTTAATCAAGATTTTCACCTCTGTTGCCTATAGTTGCATCATGTAAGATTATTAGTATTCCTCTTATTAATCAAAGTTAACCACTTCATGCACAAGCCTAATATCCAAGCTCAAATGCTTGTCTTCTTGTTTATCAGTTATGAGCTTCATGCTTTGCAACGTGCTAAACTTAAAAAGATTGCTGTGACGACTGAGAAAACATCAGATTTTGGTGCATATGAAGTTGAAATGGCAGAAAGAAATCAAGCAGCCAGTCTTGCACCATCAACTCCATGATTCCAATTTGCCTTCCTGGTTCCTGTAGAGGAAGAGCAGGTATCAGTCCATTTAGCAGGAAAAATAGCATTGTCGAGTATGCTTATTTCCAGTGGTAAAATGATCATCTTTGCTGTCATCTTGAGAGGTGAACTTGCATTGGACTACAACTGAAGTAAATTTAATGGAGATCATGGAATGTACAACAATTACATTTGTATGTTGAAGGAATCTGATGATTCGCTCTGTACAGAGAAAGGGGTGCTAGACACCTTTTTTTTTTTTTTAATTTGTAAAGAGAAGGGTGCTGGACTGCATCTGAAGTAATACATTTGAATTGTAAATCAGTAAATCGCAATGGTTGCAGCATTTGTTCCTTGCTGGCACTCTATTAACTTATTATGATATGGATATATTTACATGAACCTTCATTATTGGTTTGCCTTTCCAGTTCCTACCTGTCCTTTTATTGTATTTACAAGAGATGGAAGCAAGCCTGCCAAGCACTTTTCTGGTCATCCAGGAGTAGAAAAAAGAAATACCGTTTGCTTATAAACGAGAAGCAAGAACCAAATAAAAAAGAAAAGGGCTTACATCACAGCCCATATTGATCCTGCAAAACCGTGAAATAATCCACAAAATGTCAACTCTTTTTCTAAAAAACTAAATCTGATTTGGGAATTGAAACAATTACTAAACAACCAGAAAAGATGGCTAATTCTTAGAAACAGGAATATTACTATTCTATGCCATGAATTGGATGGTGGGAATTCTCTGATTTCTTAAACAATACATGTCTGAATGCTTAACTTTCAGTTCACTGAGAATTTATTACCTACCTACAGTACTGGTTTTTGTTTGATGCAAAACGAGACAGTAAACTATCAACTGTCAACTCTGCTTTTTTGGTTAATTCTGTAGATAAATTTGTTTTGTTTTTTGGTTGAGAGACGAGATAGTTGAACAGCCAAGCAGCCTGCTTATGGGATAGGCGTCATTCCAACTTGTACCTTGCTGGCTGGATTCTGGAGCATGGTGTTACGGACTGTTGCAGAGTCCATTAGGCATGGCTTGTACGCTTTCTTTGGTTTTAATCTTGTTCTTTTCACCGCTCCAGCATTAATTTGCCGGTGGTCGTCCTCTCATCAGTTATATATACTTGCCCTGTAGGTCATGAAAAAAAGCTATGAATCTGATGCTCTCAAACTCAAACTCTTATTTTTTTTTTTTTTAAATCTTCCGTACACGTCAACCAGTAATGCCAAATCTGAGCTGAATCACTGATGACTGTTCTGCCTTCAGGCCTACGTCAAATATCAAATAGCAGTAGTTTTCAAGCCTTTTGTATAGTATTTCGTAAGCAATAATTCAGATTTCATATTTGTCTTGTGGATTCAACGTACTTTTTGTGATTCTATGACTGAATTTTTTGAACGAAAAGAGCATAAAATAAAATAAAAAAGTACACACAAGCAGTGAAAAAATTTTTTAAGACAAGCAAACCTTGAAGAAAATGTCTGCAAATTAAAACTAGTATTTGCATAAACTTATTGCATTGTTCCCTTCCGTTTTATTTGCAACCAAAATTAAAAAAAAAAAAAAAGATTCAGGACGGACAAAACCATGGAATTTGGTTCACCTGCCAGCCTAACAAAGTTTGCAACTTCCAGTCTTGCACCGGGTAATGAATGGATGAATTGCGTTAACATTTCACAGAAATAGAAATAGAAAAACGAGAAACATCGTCAAATTTAAGGTTGAACATGTTGATAAACCTGTAACACTAAAAAGCTCTGTACAAAGCTACAATTCCCATGTGAATAAGGGCGGGCCCACTCACACAAAGGTCTTCTGCATGCATGTACATTCAATTAATGCTCACTTGACAAACTCAGCAGCTTTAGTGCTTCACCACAAATTTGAGAGAGGGAAAGAAAAGGAGTTTTTAAGGCAAACAAAATTCAAACGAACACCAATGAAAAAAAAAAGAAACAACACTGTCAGAAATTGCAGAGAACCTGAAGCTCTCCAGTAAGATACACTTTTAATACAGAACAATCCATTGACAGATTCGATGGCCCACCTGGGTTCGTGGGCGAGTTTCGTGCTCAGCAAGCACAAAGGAAGTCAGCACATTGGGCTGCAAGGGAATTTAAATCTATTTCTTGGGCATAATGCTAGGAATGATATTCTGTCTGTGACCGAACCAGTTAAAACTAAAAACTGGCTTGTGGTTACAAATCATCCTTGCCTGTCCAATTGTCCTTGAAAAGTTGAATAGCACATTCCGCAGAAAGATTTTTATTTTTTTGGGGAAGGAAATCCTGTTTTGGATACTAGGACTGATTTATTAATACTTCTAGATGACAGCAGCCAAACTTAAATCCAAATTGCAGGACAGAACAGCAATTTCATCTCATGGATATTAAGGAAAAAAAAAAGAGGGGGAGGGTTACAAAAACATGGGAAAAGACAGGTTAAAAGTGACAAATGACTTATTTATTTCCAGAGATCATCCATGTTCATCCCTACCTAAGTATAGACAAAAGTGAAACTACACGGTGAGAAGGCAGGAAAAGAAAACCTAGAGACATGATGTACTCCTAATCAGTTACAACGATGAAAAAAGTCGCAAACTCCTAACATATTACTTCTTTTTTCCTTTGAACAAAGGGTCTCAGGTATATAATTGGTTAGTGTAATTCACCAGCTCTGTTATGTTACAGATCTTCAAATTACACATCTTAGTTAAGGCTATCTTTACATGAACTCAGAAGGGCAATACGACACTGCTTGCTTTGAAATCTTGAGCATGAAATTAATAGAAGTTGCAGGAAGTAGAATTAACTGGGTTCAGCTTATGGAATCACTTGCACCCATTCATATCGTCCAGGAAGGGGCAAATCATTCACAATATCAAAGTTATACCTGCAGAATCCAGCATGTTAATGAGACTTGGCTGCTCAGCTAACCAATCTATTTAAGCCTAGATTCATTCAGAATGGAAGCAACCAACACTGTAAATTGTAATCACCCGGCAGATATATGCCCCAAAATATTAAATGATATAAGAAGAATGAAAGAAGCTTACTTCTCAATGAATTGTTCCTGTTGTAGTTGTTCTGCACAAGCAAAAAATTCCTCCATTTCGAGTGTTGTTGGGATTAATCTCTGCACATCATTCGTTGCCCTTCGGTGAGCTGAAGGGGAGCTTCTCAGCCGTGTGGTTGAACCAGGGGTTGCAGTGGTTTCGGAGTCCTTTATCAAACTACATGGTGTGCTTTCTCTAGTGCTCCTGCATAAAAAGTACAAATTATCTATAAGAATGAAATAACATCATAATAAAATAACAGCAAAAATTCTGAAACGAAAGATATTTTTTTCCACCATAGAGAATTATTTGACTCTTGCATTTCAAATAATTTACATGATACATCAAGCCACTCTTTTATAGGTATAGGATTTAAAGATTCTCAGGATAAGAAGAGTGGATTAATGAATTAACATCATAACAAAATAACAGCAAATTCTGACATTAAAAGCTATTGGGGAGAAAGGCACTTAAAGCCATACGACATTAGCTTCGGTTCATGCATAGAACTAGCCCTACAAGTAAAAACTATACCCTCCTTTTTTTAGCTTATGCAAAACAAAGTACAACCCATTTTGACATTAATTAAATCTCTTAATTATAATAAAGAAAACAAAATTAATATTCCCGTTAAAGTGGAAGAAAAACTCCTATAATGAAGAGACAGACATTTAATAGAGACAAGCTTAAATTTGGTAGGGGCAGAGCAACAACAGGATAAGAAACAAGAAATTTGCGGCCTTTAGTCACTTACTGGTAGACCCAACACAGAGAATCCCACATTCATGTCTGAGTATGTAACTTGGCCCCATGAAGATGATATATCATTGCTAACAAAAATGAGGCATAACCGTTAATGCTGCCCGGTATTGCCAAAAGATTATATTTCTTCGTTCTTATCTTCTCTTTTTTTTTTTTTTCACTTTATTATTAACAAAAAGAAGGACAAGTAAAGACAAAAATTACAAAGGATTCCTATCAGGAAGACCAAACAAACTGCTTCTTTCTCCGGGTATAATGTACTTCATAATTTCCCATATAGAACCTAATCTTATCTTTCATAGTTATTAACATATTCATGCACCTAAAATTGTTCAATTATTTGATGGCCAAAAACTTATCAATATCTCAATCTTTTTTTTATTATTTTCATAAATCAAAATCAACACCAGAGAATTAACCTTTTAATTTAATAATAAAATATAGTGCACTTTTCACCATGTGGGAAAATGCAAGTTGTAGCAAGTCTGATAAGCAGCAGGTACACCTTGTTTCAGAAACACAGTCTATTTTCCATTCAATATAATCTCTCATGAGTCAGAAGCTTTCAGTAAATCTTTTTATGCAATGATATATATGCATAAAAAGAACAGTGAAATAAGAAACACAAAAATCAAGTTTAAATTTTGTTGGGAAGAATATTAATGACGTGATAATTTTCATGATCAGGTAACATGTAGAAACACAAAGAGATATTGTTTCAGTGACATTTCTTTTATGATTTTTATACAATGGATTTATTCCAGGAAGCAGCCTACTCTCCAAGCTTATGTAAACTAGCAGAACAGACAGAGGAGTAAAAGTACTTGACAATAACTTTTTTAAAGAAAGAAAGAAAGAAAGAAGAATGAGTCCAATATAACACCGAAATGTCAAAAAAAAAAAAAAAAAAACCCACCCAATATGTTTAAAATAAATAAACCCCCATCTTTGAAAGGGGCAAAGAAATCTCATTTAAAGCATCAAATAGAAGGAAAAGGGAAGAAACCTCCACTCACTTTTAACCAAAGCAAATGGCAAAGAGTGGCAATGAAAGAGAAATGAAACCCCCCCCCCCCCAAAAAAAAAAAAAGAAAAAGAACATAAGTAAAAGGACGAACAAAAGAATTGAAAAAAAAAAACCCCAAAAGAATAATTTTTTGAAAATGTTATCAGCCGAACCAATAAAGCAATGCTGAAAAGCTCCAAGGATTTTGAAAAAAAAAAAAGAAATTTTTTTTAGAAGAAACTAACTAGAGACGAAGGAAAAAAAAAGTACCTGTCTCTGAGTTCAAAATCCAAATTGTTCTCTCCAAAAGGAGCCTCCTCTGTTTCACAGAAAAGCCCCACTCCTACAACTATTTCCCTGTTTTTCCCAAAACACCCTTCACTTTTCTCCTCACAATTCTTCTTCTCATCTCTACAACCACTCTCTTTCCCCTGTTGTTTCTGTTTGGTTTCATTAGAAACAGGGGAAGGCAACTTCTCCAGCCTGCGGCTCCTTAGCTGAAGATAAGAGAAGGAAGAGATATCTGGGTTTGAACCAAGAGCTTGGGCTAGTGAAGGAGAAGGGTTTGTTTTTTTGAGTCTTTTCAAAGCTAGGGTTTTAGCAGCTCTGGTACGGGAACCCAAGGTTGACTGATGAGAAACTTCCATCACTGCTATGTCCCCTGTTATCTTTGCTTTCTTCATGTACTTCCCCATTTTCTATCTTTTCTTTTTTTTTTTTCCTTTTTTCCTTTTTGGCCCTCTGTTTACCGAGGAAGGAAGAGTTTGTGATTCTCAATATTTGCTTCCTAAGAATCGAACAAAAATTTATTGAATCCTGAATTTAGGGTTTCCCGAATAGACTTGAAATTACCAAAAAAACCCATGGTTCTGACATAGCGACTTCAAATTACCAAAAAACCCATGTGCAGATGTTGTAAGGGTATTTTCGTCTTTAGGTGTTTAGAACTGGGAGGAAAGAAGGGATGCAAATACTATAAAAAAAGGGAGAAAAAAATCAGAGGAAAGCAGGGAAGGGAAAGAGAGATCCTGCCAGGTTTGAGGCATTTTTTGGTTATTTCCATTTTCCCATTTTTTTGTTGTTGTTTCTTTTCAGTATTCAGTCAATTAGTTTCTTTACTTATTGCATCTATAATTTTGCTGCAATGATGTTTGTGTGTATGTGTTTTTTTCCCAGAAAAATCTCTTCAGAAATAGAAATTTTCACTTTTCTTCAAGGTAAATGGTAACTACCCATTGTTATTCTTTTCTCAATCTCTGATTTTTTTTTACTTTTAAACTCTTTGCATCACTATATTTTATTATTGCATGGGTTAAAAGAAAACAAATATTGAGATTTGATTGTACCTTTCTTTGCATTCTGCTAGTGTTAATTGTTGTAATGTAATCAGTACTACCAGCATCTTGCATTCATTTGTACGTGAATTGGTATTTGATAAACATTAAAGATGAAAAATACTAAATAATCAATCACTCTTTGCAGGACTCCATTGTCTTGGTACATATATCTCAGTACATAATTTTATTATTGTCTCAGGTGCATTTGTTGAAGTCTTGAATCTTGATTCACCCATTCTTCTTGAGGTATTGTGTAATGCATTACCTCTTTTATGTATGTTTATTTTCTCTCCATGGTTTCTTAAATGCTTCATAGATTAAACATTTAAGGTTAGATCAGATTGATGTTTTTTTTTTTTTTCTTATACGTTATTGTGCCAAGTGGGGTGTAGTGATTTTGTTATGAGCACAATATGGTTTTATATAAAGCTTCTTTCTACCTCATGTTTACCGTGCATCACTCTTGGAAAGTTTTCTGAATATACCCCTGCTGGTTGCATTGATATTGCTTAATCTTTTATAGCATACTAAACTTTTATTTTATGTTCTTGAAAATTCTATCAGGTGGCAATTATCATTCAAAGCTTGGGTTTTTTTTTTTTTTTTTATGAAGTAGATCATCTGCAAAGTTTAGGCAAAAGGGTTATTTTCTTCGGGGGAGAAGCAGAGTAAACAGAGGTTTAAGGGAGAAGAATGGAGGGAGGGGCCAATTTTTGTTCATGAAAAATAAGAGAAAAAGATAGGGGGAAGAGAAAATTCATTGCTGGGATTAAGGGAGACTCTTCTTGGACAATTTTGTGCTCTGAAAATTAAAATTTTCCACCAAAATCCATTTATCCACCACTAGTGTTAAATTTCTAAATCCATGTGAGTGACTGAACTGAACCAACACACAATTTCATAGCTTCTTCAGTTTCAGGCGAAGGCCTATGGGCATTTTAATTGTGATTCTTTATCTACATCCATGGACTCTACATCTGCCGCATGTGCAGCCAAGGAGTCACTCTACATGATCCTTAATCATCAAGTTAATATATAAATAAAAAAGGTAATTAAAAGTAGTTTTAACATTCTTGCAGTGTATAATTTAATCACTAATCAATCAAAGTAAAGTTATAAATAAAAACATAATTAAGCCTCTCTCCTCCACTTCTGGGAAACTCTCTCGATTCCCTTAAAAAATCAACTTTTTAATCATCAAAATTAAAATGGGCTGAGAAGAGGGCATAAAAATAAACATGGCCACATCCAGGCTGAAAATGAATGAGATAGGGCACCACCCCGGGGCATAGGGGCTCTGTATTGTTAAAGCCGACGTTGGTTTCAGGTTGTTTCATGTTACGTTAGAGAAGTGAAACATGAAAAGTTAAAAGCTCCGCAATATTTCTTGTGCTTGCGCCATCCATTGGTCCTACCCATGCCTTTTGCAATATTATTTCGACCATTGAGTTCGAGTTTGAGGTGCACCGATGGATAATAATTAATTTGTGCCCTGACACACAAGATTCACTTACTACATAAAACAAGTACTACCATAAATTTTTGAAAATATTATATAAATGATTAATTATATAATTTTTTAAACATTATCTCAACAAACTATCTAAAACACCGATCAACATTCTCAAAGTTTAAAGAGGAAAATACGTAAATGACGATTGATTGATTGATTGTGTAAAAATAGGAGACAGGAGAAGACGAGGATTTTGTTTTGCGGCAGAGGGCAGCCTACGCCTATCTCAAAGGTAATGATGAGTGACGTTAAGTTTATTGAAATGCTAAAACTTTTTTTAAAAGCAACACTAACCCATTTCCCATTTTGCTACTACTCTCTTATCATTTATATAATCCGTCAATTTCCACTTTTGCCCTTTAAAAAAATAAAAAAGAGTTAGCTTAATGCACGATTTAAAGGGAATCTTTTGCTTCCCTCTAAAACCATTTCACCTCTTTCGGCCTTGACTATTAATATCACCAATTATTTACGGAGTATTATTGATTAATAATTTTTTTAAATGAACACAAATTTCATCCGAGTCTGTTTATTCCTCCTTTTTAACCTGACTGGTTTCCTGCTTCCGAAGGCCAATGCCATTGCCAAGGCTGCCAAGGCTATGATAAAAGAGCCCGTACATTTGGCAAACGTGTGTCATTGATTACTCATCCCTATCGTTACCATTGCCCACCATCTCCACTTTGTTTTTTTTTTTAACTACATATAATCGTTTTTTCACGTCCTCCCGCTTTTTCTTTTAGCTGAAAAAGTTAGACCAAGCGTCAAAATGGGGCGTGGATTACACCGACCAATAAAATCGTGTGTACACGTATAACGATTGAAAATGGTTTCCGGTGGCTACAGCCTTGGGGGGCCAGTTTATATTTTGCGTTTCACTTACTGACAGCTTGCAATTTCAGGTTCTCTTGATCACTCGGAGAGCGCGTGAGAAAGGCAAATTCCTTAAGGAGTTTCAGAAATAATCAAAAGCCTAAGCCCAATCCCAATCGAATGCCCACAATTGTTGTTGTTAATGATGATTTAAAAAAGAAAGATAAGGCCCAAACCATGAAGGAACACATAAATTCTTATGTTTTTGTATTGCGATTTTTTTTAATAAAATATTTTTATATAAAAAGAAGATATACCGAAGATTTTATGAATAAGAATATTGCTTTAAAAAAACTAGTGTTCTCAACCAAAGCGGACAATCTACTTAGTAGAGCAGAAACATGAAGAGCATGCAAAATAAGTTACACGCCATTCCATATTTTATACATCTATAACTAAAAAATCTCCCATACTCGGGTTTTTAACCATTCCCGAATTTCCATGCCATGCCACTGGAAGGAATGCTTTTGCTCCACACGTATTTGATTTTTATCATATTTTCTATGTTTTATTTCCATAGCTTAACAGAGCTGTCATGACTTGCAGAAGCAATCATTCCTGTGACAGGCAAATTCCTTAAGGAGTTTCAGAAATAATCAAAAGCCTAAGCCCAATCCCAATCGAATGCCCACAATTGTTGTTGTTAATGATGATTTAAAAAGGAAAGATAAGGCCCAAAACATGAAGGAACACATTTTCCAAATAGGAAATTCTGTTTGATACCGCACATTCTTCTTTCACCCATCTTCGCAAATCTACAAACATCGCAATCACATATTCCAATCACAAATGTAAAAAGATAATTATACGTATAGAGTATAGACAATGTCCACCAGAAATAAACAAACGGCTGCACTTATCATCCAATGCCCCAAATCTCAACTAGCCACCGATCATGACGGCTCACATTTTGACATACAGGACCCAGCAGATAATACATGTTGGTTGACATGCACATAGCACCACAAACTAATGCAAAGAGCCATGAAAAAAAAAAAAAAGAATAGTTCAGTTCACTCGATCACAAAAAAACCGCAGCTTCGGACAAACCAGGTGGTTGTGCTATCACATACCAAGGAGCAGCTTCAATTTGGAATGAATGAAAAAGGCCAAAGATATGTATAAACATGCATAATAATAATAATAATAATAATAAAAAACTCCATAGAATTTGTATGAAATATATGAAATTCGACTGCAGTGTACCGGGGATTAAAACAGTAACTTGCCTTTTGCTGCCCCTATTTACAGTACTAATTAATAAACCATGATCCATAAGTGATCCACCAGTTGGCATCACTAGAAAATTACTGCATGGATTTTTTTTGGCTTCTGTATTCAGTCGGTGGATAGGGCATCATCTTCGTCCTCCATGTTATCCTGAGAATCGCCAAATAAAGCACGAGGCAATGGTCCGTTTTCCAAATTTTCCGAAGCATCATCAAAGATGAGAAAAGAAGTAGAACCGTTCTCTAGGTGTTCAGTCATCAGCCGCAACCTTCCGGAAAGGTTATGCTTTATAAGCTCAAACTTGTGCTCTGGAGTGTGTCTCTGATTGAACCTGCCTGGAAGCTTAGGTCGAGTATTATAGCAATCTCCACAAAGGTCAAATCCTATTTTCTCTGTACAATCCTTGCATTTGTATCTATCTCCAACTATCGGAGACATCTGCTGGTACAAACTCAAGTATTATTGGCTTCCTACTGATTTTATTCAAATGAAGAAAACAATAAAGACTAGCAATCTCCTACTCTATTTAACTCATTCTATCAGCCAACAGCTGGATGCAAGCTTGACATTCTGCTGAGAAATTTAACTACAATTCAAGTCTCACTAAGAACTTAACTACACCTTCATATCTCACCTAATATAATGAACTTACGAACTTAAATAAGGTTCAAGCAATGACTATTATATGGCAGAGAGAAGTACTCAATTAGTATAGCAGTTCAAACCAACAGAACCCTTCATCTTTATGCACTATGTCAAGTATAAATGTTACTTGAAAAGCACTGAATAAAATCCAACAACCGATGAATCCTAAAGCACATAGAGAGCAACTTATCCTACATTATGATCCTCTCCTAAAGCAATAAAATGCCATCATTACAAATTTTCAATGCCCAGCAACTAGCAACAGACATTAACTAATGACGCTGGCCAAAACAAGCATGTACATATGTACTAGCAGTCTGCATTTCTATTAGACTAGAAACAAATAATTTTAATTAGGTAAAAATAAATAATAAAAATGCTGTGAGAGAAAATAAAGGATGACAGTTTTTAAAACTTGGTAAAATGGGCTATGTTATTTATGGAGATGAAGAAAGAAACAACAAAAAAAAAAGTATGAGCAAGAAAAAACCAACTCAATTGAAATTTTAAAGTGACTAAATTGGTGTGACACCAGAACACACACGCATATGCACTCATATAAGAGACAAGGAGCAAAGCATTTACCCCACAAGCATCACAACCAACTCCAATATGTATATATGCGCTAGGCTGCATTGAGAAAGGTAGCAACTGGACAGGTGAGAAATTTTTTTTACCAGCTTCCATGGAACCTAAAACATTCGAGCATGATAGATAGTCTAAAATTGAGGACTCAAAGTTAACGCAGCACAATTATAGCACAATCAGACTCTTTCTAAGATCAATTTTACGAACTTGAATGAATCAGTAATTACACATATGTGCGTGTGTGTGTGTGTGTGTGAGTGAGTGTGTATTTGGACAATTTAATAAGTAATTATATGCTTCATTTTTCCACTTAAAAAACATGGCAACAAACCCATTGACATGAAAAAAGGGGAAAAACAAAATGATATAAACCAGCTAATCACTAGATCGACTGAATGTTAACTCGATAGACACTGAAACAAGATGGATTAACAGAGCATTGAGACATACAGGTGGTTGCTCTCTCATGCTTGGAAGAAACTTGTTTGAGATGAACAGCATTCCTTCTTGATGCATATTCTTTGGGAAATTTAGCCCCCAAAAACTGATCAAGCGTCAAGCAGACTTTTGGAAAGCCCTTTGGATGCAAACATGGACAAACTTGACATCTAAGCATCTCATCAGCCGGGATGATGATGCAAGTTTGACAATAAACTGACAAAGAGTAAAGATAAGAATAAGTCCACAGATAACAGAAAACTGAGGCTCAGTGATGCTAATTTAAAGGAACAAAAAATTGCACACACATACCATGGCCACAGTTAAGAACAATAGGATGAAAAAGCAATTGCTTGCATGCAGTACAAAGCAAATCCGAAACCTGAACCTTCTCTTCCCCGGCCACAAGTTTTGTCTGATTAAGATCTCCATCAGCCTGTGATTCACATGCATGACCATTGAATTCCGGTGAGAAGTAGCCATCTCTCTTTTCCTCCTCTGTACGATACAAAGGCAACAAGATAGAAAGCTTCATAATGTACAACAATATAGGTAAAGTACTGCACTAGCTATGGTGGGAACAATCTCAAAATTACCTACAACGATCCCTCCCTTTTCTGTTTAGGCAATGGACTACCGAAAAGTGTAGCAAACAATAAGCAGAACGTTTCAATGCAAAACTAGCTCACAAATTATTCATATTGAACAAATGATAACTTTATGAAATAAAATATTTCTCATGAAAATCATACTAAGAAGCAATATTTTAGTTGTTACTACTTTTCATACTTGATTTTGGCGGTAATTAACAACCATGAAAGCATATTTGACAGAACATGAAATGGAACAGAAGAGGAAACCAAGCTTACCTAGAATTTGGTCTTCCCTTTTCTTATATGCAATGGGATATAACTTTAACAGCAAGAAGTGAAGCATTTGACAAATGCCTGCAAAGTGAGAATATGGGTTTCTACAAATTGGACAACGAGACTCGCATCGAGAACTCATTGATCTATGAACGCACCAAAAACATGATATATGACCACAATCTGTTTATTAAAAAAAAAAATTATTAATGAATGAATGAATCAATAATAATTGGAAAAAAAATTAAATCATGAAAATTCTATGTTATTTCTATGAATCTAGCAACAAAAATCTTACGCAGAACGATTGGTTTGTAAAGAAGATCCCTGCAACAATAGAACACAAATAAATAAACAAACAGTTTGAGAATTTTCGAGAAAAAAAAGGGAAACGACAAGATCGGAAGAAACATTCAATTTTGTCAGATTATTATCATTACTTACAAACAAATGCAACAGACGAAATAATCAGGAATTTCTTCAGAGTCAATAACATCAACAGCGTTAGGAGATTGACGTTCCTCCATGAGACAAGTTTGAGAGGAATCCATTGAATTTCCGTCCACTTTAAAATGTGAAAGGTGGCAAACCAACGTTATATCCCTATACCTATCTATGCTATCGGCAGGATATTTTGGACTTTTTATTTTCTTAATTTTATTTATTTCTAAAATAGTTTTTATAGAAATTATTATTATTATTTAAATTTAGCAATAAAATTTTATATGCACAGCTCATAAGTAAATAACTTTTTTTTTGTCAAAAAGTGATTATATTAATGGGCAAGTTCTAAGTGGTTAGAGATTATTGACAAGTAATAAATTTGATTCGAGAAAGTTCTAGACTTGAAGTAGATTGCTAGAGATTTATCAACAGATGTGATGCAGACAATTAGTGAAGGAATATCATTATGAAAACAAGAGCAATTTACTAATTTCCAAATCTTTTTCCTTTTATTTTAATTCTTAAAAAAAAGTAGATGTAAATTCAATTTTTTAAATTGAAAAAATGTATTACCTGATTTCAATCAATCTTTTTGTAAAGTGAAAGGATAGCAGTCACATTTGTAAAGAAGCGTTTGGGTTCAGTCAAGAAAAACATGAAAGTAGCTCAACGGTACATCAATCTTATTGCAGACGATAGCTCATATATTACCTTAAATGTGACGTTCAGTTTCTTCTTATGTTTTTGTACTGCGATTTTTTTTAATAAAATTTTTTTATATAAAAAGAAGATATACCGAAGATTTTATGAATAAGAATATTGCTTTAAAAATAACTAGTGTTCTCAACCAAAGCGGACAATCTACTCAGTAGAGCAGAAAAATGAAGAGCATGCAAAATAAGTTATACGCCATTCCATATTTTATACATCTATAACTAAAAAATCTCCCATACTTGGGTTTTTAACCATTCCCGAATTTCCACGCCATGCCACTGGAAGGAATGCTTTTGCTCCACACGTATTTGATTTTTATCATATTTTCTATGGTTTATTTCCACAGCTTAACGGAGCTGTCATGACTTGCAGAAGCAATCATTCCTGTGACAGGTGACTGTGCCAATGCTGAAATTATATGCTCGTGAGCTGAAATTGTCATGCTCTTATTCTCAGCCATGTTCCACAGCTCCAAAGACTGCAGTCCCCATCGTGAAAAGAGGAAAAAATTAGCTAAAGATGAAAACATAACTACTTCATGTTATGGTTATAGTTAGCTAACCCTCAAATAAACCTCCATAAAAGGAAACAAAAACCATAAATAATGCAGCAAGAATTACCGAAAGTCCTCCGATCACCAAAAGAGTGGAGTAACTTGGATGAAAGACACAAGAGTGGAACTGGTTCCCACCAGAACTGAGTTCTTGAATGCATTCCCCAGAATCCACCGACCATACTTTTACCAAGTTTTGACTCACAGATGCCAAATAATCTCCGTTTGCATCCCAGCATATATAGTTTACCATTTCCGAATGCCCCTGTTAAAAAGGGGGAAAAAGGAAAAAGGAGATGTAATACTTACGTACTACTCAAGCTATTAATTATGATGAAACCTTCGCTTTAGACTCCAATATGACATGTAAATGTTTCAAGAATGGAAGAAGATTAGATCTCAGTCCGCTGATGTTACCAGAGCGCTAATACTACACAGGCTATACCTGAAACGTTAGTGTTTGCCTATCAGTTTCCACATCAAAGATGGATACAACTTTATTTGACACTGCTGCCAGAAAATGTCCAATTCTCGGTTGGAATCTTACTTGGACCATACCACCCTGCATCAGGAATTAAAGATGAATACTTAAAAAAAAAGGTCTAAGTAAGTAGATAAAATGTAATGCACCACATATGTCTGAAATTTGGATGAGGTCAGACAGGAAAAGAGTTACTAACCTTTGACATTCGCATGCATGAGAATGTATTAAGATTCCAATAGCGAATTTCATTGTCATGATCACAAAAACAAAACAAGTCTGTCTTCTTGGGGTGAAAATCAAGGGACATCACAGGTGAAGTGTGGCCATTGTATGCTTTCACACAATAGCTTGGCTGTGATAATAAACTTAGTTTGTTAAACACAGTAGCATAGAAAGAATTCACACTTGCTTCAAAAAGGTCTACAATGGCAGAAAATTGACAGCGAATGAAGAGAGTAGAATAGCAGAAGTCATTATCCCAAATATGTACAAAACTTTGACATAGGTCCAAGTTTCAAGAAGAGAGGAAAGACGGTTACATTGGCTGCATCCCATAACCGCACAGATTTATCAACAGAAGCTGTCACCAACTGAGATGAATTTGGCCTAAATCGTACATCCGTAATAACCAATTTGTGTTCTTCTGGAGTACTCTCTGTTTGCAGGGTATCCATATTCCAAAGCACCACCTAATGAAAAAAAAAGAGCATAGTAATTATTTCTTCAACCTTTGTTTCCTATACATTCTCCACAAGTACAGTAAATTAACCAGATACAGCCATATAGGTGATTGCAACCCAGCTTAGAAATTCTCGACAAGAACAATAAAGGTTCTGTTGAATTTTTGAGAACAGGTAATTCTTCATTTTTTTAATTCACTTGAAACCTATTCTCAAAAATTCAACAGGTTCTATCATCCAACTCACTTCTCTTTTGAGTAACTTTCTGTTTCTTCAACCTCTGTTTCCCATACATTCTGCACAAGTACAGTAAATTCAACAGGTTCTATCATCCAACTCACTTCTCTTTTGAGTAACTTTCTGTTAAGTCACAACTTTTCAGAAAAACTTTTTGCCACAATATCAAGTTTATCAATATCTTTTTCCCTAGTAACCTCAAATGTGTGTCAATTTGAACCCACCCAAACATGATCAAGTTCATTCCCATTGCTTTCACACTGAGGACTTCCAAACAATATATTGAGTTGAAAGACTCTAGTCCTCATTTGTTATTCACTTGAAGTAAGTTAAATTATAAACTTAATACCGAGGGGAAAAAGTTGGAAAATGGAAAGAAGAGGTAAGCAAATACCTTCTTGTCATGCCCAGCACTAGCCAGCAACTTCCCATCAGAAGAAAAATGACAGCAAGTAACTTTGCTATTTCTTGTCTGTATACAACCAACCTCAGCAAAAGTGAAGTCTGAAATGGAGAATTTGAAGTCAGCAAGAAAAACCATATGCAACAATATGTAAAGACAGAAAATATATAAGGCGTACCTTTAGCAGACTCCTTTTGCTGATCAGTAGGACTTTGTTTAATGGTTCCATAAATGTCCCTTCCTTCACTTCCATCATGTGAAAGTAGTGTCTCCATATTTTCATCCAAAGCATCAAACCTTTCCATGTCCTCCTGCACAAATAAATGAAGCCATTAGAAGTAATTTCAGCATTCTAAAACTTGTACACTAAAGCAAGTGTCAAGAAAAACATACGTACACAACTATTAGCTCATCCTAACAAACAAGTCAATCAGTTGCACCCATTCACTAGCCAATAAGATTTTGATGTCCGAACTTAAGGTAAAATTATCACTTAAAGGTTAAATAATAAATCTCATATTACTGCCGGAATAAATACAGATAATATCCTTGGTGAAGCATGCTTATGCTTTTGTGTGTACGTTAAACCAAAGTATGCTTCTGTTGCAGGCTTCGAAAGTCATTTCAAAGTCTGTAGATGGCCTACCAACAGGGAAGATGATGAAAGACCCGCTGTTACATCTGCACCATATATCATGCTTTTAGAAACAGTATTAACATGCTGCAAACTGGTTGCAGTAGTTATTGCATCACCGGGCATATGAGTTGACGGTGGTGAATTTGGTGAAAGGCCAACTGTGTTTGCTGTGCCATTGCTGTTAGCTGCTCCAGAAGAAGAGTGTTGTTTCCGTTTTCTGTTATTCTGCAATGTAATGAACAGTCACAGAATGTGAATCAGTTTAACCAGAAGTTAAAGATTTTTAAGAAAAATTCATTTATAAATGGATATTTTAATTGGGAGTCATATCATGGTTGCTAAAAGAATTTTCTTGTAAAGTAGCTCACAGTTCAGCTCATGAATGAGATCCTTCAATTAATTCTCATTGAAGTACAACCTGTTGCAATTGCTGTGACTGCTGCTGCTGTTGCAATTGCTCCTGTTGCTGAGGGGAAGAATGTGAAACTTGACCCATCTTCATCTGTTAAGCATCCGGCAAAACTACTCAGACACAATGCATTTCCAAATACACCATATTAACAGATATTGACCACCATAAAACAATAAAAAGCAATGCCAGCGAAGAGAATTACAAATATCAATGTAACCCAATAGTTAAGAGCAGGATTTAATAAAAGCATGTCGATGCACCACAAGTAACCATGCACTTACAAACATAAAGGCCGTGCATTCTATTAATAGATCAATCGAGGACATTCATATGTTAATCATACACATTTAATTTATATCTCATATCCATGTTCTTCCTCTGGTTCCACTGTCTGCCTTCTCTCAGACAGAACATAAAGTTATGAAGCATGCATGTGATTCTTATTCCATATTTAAAAATTAAAAAAAAAAAAAAAAACTTTCAATCACATGATATAGCTTCTCTATTTCTGAAAATTGTAAACCTCAATTTTCATTGGTAGCCTTGTGATATCAGGAATATGTTCAAACCTTTGGAGAACTTGACTGCAAAGGGGAGCATATGGATCCATCGTTTCTAGTAGATTGATCATCTTTTGCATTCAAATGACTCTGAGAAAATTGACCAAACTTACAAGGGTCCGAGTCCCCACAGTTTGTCGAATTTCCAAGGTTGCTTTGTACCTGAGCCTGTGCCAAGACGTGTTGTTGTTGTGAAGCCAAAGGGAATTGGTTTTGAGTCTGCAGATTAGGCTTTTGTACACCCAAACTTGGTCGCAACTGATCAATTCCCTGTACAATTCAGCAAAGTCCAATTAAGTCTACGGTATCTAAATCTGCATAAAACAATCAGAACATCAAGGACAGGAAAAGGTGAGTGAAACTTACAGTTAGAGGCCAACCCCTCAATGGAAGACCAGAGACACCCTGATTCAGTCCTGAGGACAAACAGTTGAGATAAACAGTTAACGTTGTCAAAACGCTCTAGCAAATTCAAAATTTTTAAGTCCTACTATAAACAAATTCCCATGGGAAAAATAAAAATCCTAGAACTGTAACCAAAGGTTATGGCTTCAATTTCCATGCAGAGTGTCTCAGCTTTATATAACTGCTACACACATTTTTGTCTCAAATTGCGGCAATTTTCACCCCTACCTGAATCTTACGATTCTTATCTTTCTTGTATACCAGACATCAATTGCAGCATCTTCATCTCAGCTATACCAGTCTTCATATTATGTAGATACTTAGCTTCCCAACATTCAATGCCAGCATTGCTGGTCTAACATTCTCGATTGCAATTAACAATACATTTTCCAGATTAAATCATTTAGGTAATACTTATTAAACTTTTCAGAGAATAAAACAAAAGCTACCTACATTTCCCCCCTAAAATCAAGCAACAAATATAAAAGCTAAGATGTCTTCTTCTGACAATATGCTACCTTCAAGATGACCAAAACAGGCAATTTAAAATTTAACATCTAATCTATATGTATCATACAATAAACTTAAGAGAAGGAAAAAGTACTATCAGAATACATATCATTAATGTAGAAAAATGACACTATATTGTCGAAATTATTTTTCCCTCAGGAAAGTCAGGTATCATTACCAGCACCACCTAGGCCTGGTTTAGTTTGTAAAATTGCCTGCCCATAAATCGAAGAGGGATCCATAGGTAATAAGCTTTTCTGATTTCCACCCAAATTAACTTCGCTTTTGACATCCTACAAATCCATATATTGTACAGTTCAAATATAGAGGAAAAAATTAAAAACAAAAAAAAAGAGGATACAAAAAACATTAACTCAAATGAACGGAAAGCAAATAATCTGGGCAGTTACACTGGTCAGCGGTGTTCGCGACTGGATTTGCTGCAAAACCGCTGACATATTTCCAGGGCTACCTTGCACCAACTGGCTGTGTATGCAAAATAAGCCAGAAAAATGAGAAATTTAGTCCAATTAGATCATAGAGATGTAAATTAGGAAGCAAAGAGCACATAAGGATTAAATTAATCATACCCCTGATGATTGGCCTGTGTTTTCAGAAGGGCCATCCTACTGGCATCGATCAGTGCTGATGATGTCTCTGAATCCACAGAATGAGGGTGTTTCACACGTTCTTCATACATTTTCATGGCCAAGACACTGGCTGGTGCCTGTCCCATAATTCCTTCAGAGTTAATATTATTTACAGAACCACCAAGGGCAGGATGGTTGGGATCCCTTCGCTGCAACTGTGCATTGCAGTGCTGCATTAGTTGCAGCTGCTGCATTTGTATTTGCTGTTGTTCCCTTGATTTAATTTGTTGTGCCTGTTTTTCAAAAAAAACACACACACACACACACATGCACACAAAGACTACATAATGAGATAAAGGAGCCTAGGTAGAAAGTAAATGCACGGAATACTTTATATAACATAATAGAGGCACCTCTATATAAGCTGCAGCAGCCTCAGAATGTTTCTGGTTTGTCCTAGCAATAAATATGTCCCAGAAGACAGACCACCACTCAAACAGAAATCCTCCAGGCGCATCAATTGCTGTAGAAACAATTTACATCTAAAGATAAAGCTTAAGGTACATTGAGATAGGTAATACTCCCACTGATTTAGACACTTCAACAAGATAGACTAGCAGCAAAAATAGTATGAGACAACAATCATAGCCTAAATGGCTAATAAGGCATGCATCAGAAAAGTATCGTCAAAGAATCATAATCATCTAACAATTCTGGCAATTTGGCTTCCAGTTTGCCATATAATAAACAAATTTGTTAGCGAACATTACCTACTGGATCTGTGGCAACTTTTCCTTCAGTCATAAAAGCTTTTGCAGAAGCATGCAACTTTCTTTTCAACAAATAATCATAGATATAAACATCAAGCCTGTAGCATTAGCCCAAAAAATGCAAAAAATATCACAATAATTACTGCTTGAAGCTACGGAAAGACAATAAACAAGTTCTAAATTAGTTAAGCTAATAATCAACAAAAGCTATAACAACAAACTAAACAACCAATCTTACATCTTGTCAGCTTCCCAATTACTCTGAGCCATTTTCCTTTCCTGAAAAAAGAAAAAAAAAAACAAAAAAACAAAAACTCAACTCCATTGCCTTAGATCTTCCCTTAATAAGTAGAAATCTAAAGAAAAACACAACTTCTTTTAGTAAAAGCAAGTAAAATATTAAAATAAAAAATAAAAAATAAAAGAGAATTCAACTATGTTCAGCATGCGTTTACTAAAACCGAATTTTACATTATCTTCTCAGTAACTGCTAAAAAACTTCAAAACTCTTTTACTTATATTTTCCTCAGCTTTCTCAGCAACCAAACAAAACAAAACTCAAAATTCGATAACGTAATTCACAATTAAGCTAAGAAATCATTACCGGTGAACTGGATCAATGCTTAAACAACCTTGCAACAAGATCTCCACTTCACAAACTCTAATCCAATCTAAAAGAATTTAAGAAAAAAAAACAAATTCAATAATAAAAAAAAAAAAGCAAATTAAAAAAATTAAGATCTTTATTTTATGACACTTACTGAATCATGCAGAGCTTAAAGTGATCTGGAACTGTAACCATAGATACATATACAAGCTTGGAGAGGTTATAATTCTCTGAATTATTTCAGCTGAAGAAAAAAAAATTATTTCTTCAAAAAAACTGTGAATGATTCTTTTGAGTGTAACTGAAGTATAACAGCTCGAACTTTAACAGTAGAAGAGAGAGAAAAAAAAAGTTGTTTTGCAGGATCAGGAAACATATGGATATTTAGGGAAAAAAAGGCTTCTTCTGAAGAAACCTAAGCTGTGGTTCGTAGACAGACTCTGCTTCTTTTTTATTTAGAGTTTTCGGTTCGGAAGTTGGTTCGGCATGGAAAGTAGTCGGTCTTTAGTTCGTCCGGATGGGCAGAGTCGGTTCCAGCTTTCCTGGCTGATGATTGGTTGTGTCGAGCAAGTTTTGGTTGTGAGAACAGGGAGGTTTATGCTGCATGCGCGTGTTAGGGACTTGAGTAGAGGAGAAAAGTGGAGACTTAATGAGTGGCTGGGGATGTAAATTTTGGATGGTTTGCAGGGCTTTTCTGTCACGGGGATGAAAGTCATGTAGGGTTCAGGCGAGCTCCTATTCGCGCACCTTTTTTCTTTTTTTTTTTTTCACAATTTTTTAATTATTTTTAAATATAATTATTCAATTATTTTTTCTCTTTAATTCTCCTGTATTTTTACAAGCTTCCAGATTTCTAAATCCAAAAATTTTAAAGAATTTTTAGATTTGTAAATTCAAAAATTCTTAAAATTTTTAAATTTACATATCCAAAAACTTTTAAAAGATTTTAGATTTGCATATATGAAAACTTAAAAACTTTTGTAAAATTTTTATTTAATTTATTTTTTCCATACCTAAATGAAATTTTTTAAATTTATTAGATATAAAAATTTGATAAATTATATAATTTATCATATATGTATATTCGAAAATTTTAAAATTGAGATGACAATGATAATTAAGTAATTTCACCTAAAAAAAATTTTTAAAAATGGATGTGTTTAAAATCTCTCAATATTCCTCGTTTATTTACACCTTTTTTTTTTTACACCCTAATTTTTTATTAAAAAAATATTTTATATAAAATTATTTAATTAATCTTTAACAAATTACCTCTTAATCCTAACTATTCTTGATTTACAGTGCATACATAAATATATATCCGAAAGTTTAAAGTTCTTCTACAAATGCATTTACATAAGGTCTATAAACTTTTCACATATGCATTTTCGGAAAGTCTTTAAATGTTTCGAAAATACAAATACAAAAGCTTATAAACCTCAAATCTCAAACCACAAATTACAAAACTTGTGAATTTGCATTTTTGAAAATTTTTAAAAACTTTTGAATTTACATACTGAAAAGCTTTTAAAAAATTTCAAATATAAAAATCTAAAAACTTACAAAAGCATATGAAAACCCATTTTTGCAAGTAATGATTTTACAAAAATAACCCAGATTACAAATCATAAACCCATTCAATCATTCAAATATCATAAATAAATTATCTCTATATGAAAATGGATGAGTTAAAACTATTAATCTTTTTTAAAATTAGCGATTTTAAATTTTGATTTGAATGAGAATCGAATTAGAATATATAAAAAAAAAAAAAAAAACGTTGAAGGATAATGATTTAAGGGTTTGAGGTGTAAATGAGGGATTAAGGATAGTAATAGATTTATAATTTTAGGGATTTGAGGTGCAAAGAATATAAATAAATTTAAGAGGATTTGGATTTAATCTATTATAAGTAATGAATTGTGTAAAGAAAAAAATTTAGATGTAAATAAAAATACACATGCTCAAGACTTTTAGGTTTAATTTTGATAATTTAATATTGAATTATGATTTTTTTAGTTACACTTGCAATTAAAATTTACATTTGTATAATTATATAATTAATTAAATAATTAATTATTATATAATAGTTAAATTATAATTATTAATTAATTAATTAATTAATTATAATATAACTAAAACTATAGAAGTGTAATCACCCAAGCACTCATTTTTCTTCACATTAGATATGAGGAGACCATCTAACTGAAGCGTAAAATCGGTTACATACCCTTACTAGGGATATAAATGAACAGAACTTTTGACAAATTGTTCGTAAATGTGTTCAGTTTCTATCTATTTATGTTCGTTTATTAAACTTAACAAATGATTTTAAACAATATTTTTATATATGTTTATTAAACAAATCGAATATGAAAAGATGTTTGTTTGATTTATTTATATTCGCAAACAAACTCATTTAATGTTTGTGGATCAATTTGATTATAATTTGTTTAAAACAATAAAAGTTGATTATTTTAAGAATTAATATATTTTATCAATCTATAAACTATCATATAAAATATGTGTCATTAAAACTTACATATGATATAGATAAAAAATAACTTTTAACTTTTTAAAAATATTATTATAAAATAACTCTTTTTATGCTTAGGAATTGGATAATAATTTTGAATGAAGTTTGAAAAAATAGAAATTTATTTTTACCAATCCCATATGCCATAAGAACCAAAAGAAATATGGGTATATAAATTTTCATCCTCTGCCACACATCCGCACATGAACAAATGGATCCCACATCGACATAAAAACCAAAATAGGGGTGGGTAAAGTCTATAGATTCCCATCCTTTCCTCACTTCTATGCATCTTTATCACCAATTGGTTATAGACTACAATAAGCATTAAGTCCATTTATTAGGATTTAAAACTAGAATTCATTTGTGTTTGGCTAAAATTCAGTGAAAATAATTGAACTGAATTCAGACACATTGTCAAATTCATTAAAAGCTCGTTCATTTATGCACTCATTTATTATTAACCAAACTAAGCTTGAATAAAAAAGAGCTTGAACAAAAGAGAACTTGGCTGGGTTCGATTAATTTATAACCATAACTATTACAAATTATCTGATGCTAATGTAAATCAAATGAGCATTTGACCGTAAGTAGAAAAAGACAAACAGTGCTTTTAACTTTTCATATAGGCATTTTAAAACTCCAACCAACCAAAACAAAAAAAAAAGGAAAAGTTAATACTTCCTAGTGGCGAGATTTTTTTTTTTTTTGCCATATAGTAGTAGAAATGTTAAGAAATGACTAAAAAATTCTTGCAAATGTGAAATATATATTTGTTGACGTGTGCTACAATACCATCGCCTACTATAATACCGTCAATTAGAAAGTCAAAACATTTAAAATTCTATGAAAATTTTGACACGATAACTTTTGACATTTGCATTGCATACTATAGTATCGTCACCACTACAATAACTGTAGACTACTATAGTGACAATAAATTGCTATAGTAAACGTAAAAAATTTGCCTATAAATAGGTTGAAGGTGCAAAGGCTAAATGTGTGCTTGAGGTGTTTGAAAATGTCTTAAAAAGCCCGATGAGAACACTAAAATAAATTCAAAAGAGATGTGCCATGTAGTTCAAGAGTGATGGTATATTTTAAGGTTTATAATGTCTACATTAGAATAATGGGAAACACTTGTATAATCCTGATGGGTGAGTGCTTATTGAAATGGTGTATGTTTGGGGCTAATGTAGCCATTATAATCTTCGTTCTTTGATAGTGATTTTTTTTGTGGTACCCGTGGATATAGGCATAATGCCAAACCACGCATATTGTTGGTATTCTCTATGTTCTTTATTGCTATTTAACATTTATGTGAAGGTAGATTCGGATGGAGAAGCATTTATCACTATTCATGTATACAATACTATTTACATATATGATACTATTCAAGTGTATAATACTATTCACATATACAAAGAATGGTTGTTCTGTACTTTGGATTCTTCTTGTTATAAATGGCATTAGGATATGTTGATTCCTGACAAAGTGGGATCCAAGCATGCCCAGATTCCTAATAAGTGGTATCAAAACCTAGACATTCCTTTGATGCATTTCGAAGTTTTTTTGCACGAGACAGAATGTTAGTAATGAAGTTTAAATTAAGAAAATAGAGGTTTGTACCTAACAAGGGGTGTCAACAATGAAGAAAATAATGAAGATTACATGAACCAAATGATACAGTAACAACCATTTTTTAAATCAATTTTGATGTTGTTGTTTAAGGTGGAGTTAACTTGATGGAAATGTCATGTATGGCTATGTCATACAAAACTCATCTTAATGATTCATCATAGTTAAGGTTCGATCTTACTAGTCATGATGACATGATAAGTTCGAGTTACGTGTATTCATCTTGAGTTGCATCTATGGATGTTTGTGACAAGATGATTTATTAAATAAGTATTCAATTGTCCTATATAGAAAAGTGCTTGCATTCCATGCCTTTAGACAATTTTTAGATTTGGTGGGAATATTACCAATTGTGCACTAAGTCAATGGTTTGTCTAGAAAAATATGAGAGAAAAATTTTGCATGAATTGTGTTATAAAAAATCACATTGTTAGCAAAACACTGATGTAACACAATGGTTGCAAAATGGAATGTTGGGCTTTAGTTAGAGCAAAATATGCCATGTTAATTTTACTTTTGATGATTTTTTGGTATATGATAAATTGGAAGCTACTTATTTCTTACTATTTTATTAGTTGGTTTGCCATCTAATGTAAGTTTTATTGGAACTCCAAGGATTAGTCTGAGTATTTATGAACATCATCATGGTTTCTTGGTTCAAATGATGATGGTAAGCTTGATAGTAGAAACGGTAAAACTCATGAATATGTGTTGGGTGTCAAAAAGTGCATTGTTAAATCCTTCGGTGACCCGAGGATGATGTGATGAGACAGTGTAGGATCAATAGAGTAGTTAAGAAGTTATTTGCATTGTTAGGCCAGATGTTAGCAAGAAAGTAGAGCATATGGCTATGTATGGTAATGAGATGTTTCTATATATATATATTATGGTAAGAAAAATTTTTCTCAAATAAATTGGTTGGGTAAAAATTTTAAAGTTAAAGTAGGGATTATTGAAAAATTACTAGAAAATTCTAGCAAAAGTGAAACATGTATTTTTTTACTTATGCTATAATATCATTGCCTATTACAGTACCGTCGATTGAAAAGTCAGAACATCTATAATTATGTGAAAATTTTAACATAGTAATATTTTAACATTTACACCTCGTGCTACAATATCGTCGTTGCTACAGTAACCCTATATTGCTATAGTAAACGTGAAAAAGTTTGCTTGTAAATAGGTTTATGGTGTAAAAACTGAAAGTGTGTCTAAAGTACATGAAAATGGCTTAAAGAGCCAGGTGAGAGCACCAAAGTAGTGTCAAAATAGATATGCCATGTAATTTGAGAGTGGTGGTATATTATGGGGTTTGTAGTGTCTATCTTAAAATAGTAAAAAAAACTTGTATAATCTCTAGAAGTGAGTGCTTGTTGAAATGGTGTATATGTTGGGGTTTGTGTAACCATTGTAATCTTAAATCTTTGATAGTGATTTTTTTTTTCTGTGATGCCTATGGATGTAGCTATAATGTCGAACCACGTATATTATTGTTATTCTCTATATTATTTATTATTGTTTTAAAATTTTTATGAAAATAGATTCAGATGAAAAAAGAATATGTCACTTTTCATGTATACGATACTGTTTACGTATACGATATTGTTCACATATACGGAGCTGTTCACATATACAAATAGTGATGGTTTCACACTTTGAATTCTTCTCGCTATAAATGGCATCAAGATATGCTAATTCCTGATAAAATGAGATCGAAGCATGCCTTGATTCCTAAAAAGGAATTGGGAAACAAAAAATTAAAAAAGTGTCTCAGAGGCATAAATGATAGATGAATTTTATCATGTTCAATGAGGGATACATGAAAATGAGTTGGTATAATTTTTTTTTTGAGCTATACTATATTTCATTTGGGAAACTTTTTAAATGTAATACTAGCATAATAGATATTTGAAGAAAGCTTTAGAAAATTTATTTCATTTCATTTTTTTATCATAAATAGAAACTTTTTATGGATTGTGCTATCTATTATATTATAATTCAATAGAATTTTAGTATTACTGAGAATTTTATTCTCCACTTGAAAACTTTGAGTGATAGCATATGGCATGGGAAAATTTAATTTTATGTATATTTTCATGGTTGTTTTTTTATACTTGGTTCAATAATTTATTATTTTGAAGTTTAATTTAGCTTATATCTCTAATTTTTTTCCCAAATTTGAACTTGTATAGTTTTTACTCAATTTTTTATTTATTAATTAATATTAAAAAATTGTTCATAAAAAAATTTCATATTAAGAATTGATGGAACAAAAAATAGCAAATAAAAGCAATCTGAGTGAACAAAAAATTTTCACAATATTATTCAATTTTTTATATAATTATAGAGACTTAAAAAATGTTTGAAATAAACTTGATTATGAAAAGAATTATATCAAAAGGCATTACTAAGAAAATGATAATAATATCCTTTGAGAATATTAAGATTATACAAGGGCATTTTTGTCTATATGAATACGTAAGATGAAGACCGACTGTCAAATAGTTCTCTGAAATAGACTTCGGTGTAAAATAAAGAAAAAAAAAAAAAAGGATTACAAATAACTGAATAAGTTGCGACTTCAGACATCTTAAACAGATTACCGATTAGAAACTTGAAAAATGAGATGATGTGATCTCCTTGTGTCCTGAGCATAAGAAAAGTGCGTGCTAGGACGGTTGTCCCTAGCATTCTCCGAAATTGTAATATAATTAAAAAAATTAAATTTATATAATAAAATTTAAAATCTTAAAATTTTAAGATCGTTTTGTCACTAAATCAAAATCTCTTTTGCGATTGTTATATACATTTTATTATCATGATTTGAATAATTGAGTTTTATTTTATTTCAATTGATGATAAGTTTGAAAAAAAAAAACTTGACGTTTTCCTAAAATTTGTTATTTTATGAATTAATTAAAATATTAATTTGTTATTAATAAAAATTAATTATTAAGATAAATTTTATCATTGATCATTTACTTGTAGTCATCTTTTTAAAATAATTATTAAATTATTAATTTTTTAATTTAATAACTAAAATTGAAATAAAAATTCAATTATTAATTTTTAATGATATGTTGATATGATAATATCACGTCACTTATCAACTATCATATGATGTTTTTACGTTAAAAATATATATTTTTTATAATTATAATGCTTTGTCAATAATATCAAATGAAATATTAGATAATGTGATAATATCATATAATATCTGATAATTAATATAATATTATCATATTAATATATTATTAGAGATTAATAATTAAATAATAAAAAAATATTTATTTTAATTTTAATAATTAAATTAAAAAATTTAATAATTTAATAATTATTTTAAAAATACGACCATAAATTAAGGGGTTAATGCTGTATTTTATTTTAACTATTAATATATTAGTTTCTGTTCTTAAAAGGAAAATATTAAATGTTATACAAATTTAGTTTTTATCACATTATTTAGGTTGAATGTTTATAAATTTTGTCGGTGTTATTGTTGTTTCTACAAATGTAATAGTTGAATTTGCTTCTTGAATAAAAATATTTAGCTTTAAAAAGAAAAAAAAAAGAAAAGAAAGTAACTTGGTAGCCAAAGGCAAGCAGCAAGCTCGCTCTCACGCGCTGTACACAGCGTGGGTACCTCACGCCAGAGCCGTGTTTTCTTTGCCACGTACGACCGTAACAGTTAATAAAACAGTAAATTAACACCTGTCAGAAAAGGAGTGGATGGTAAATTCTAGAAGGTCATACAAACCAAACTCCGAGGTCGTCGTACAGAATCTCCCCCACCGAACAACGTAACTGCCCAACTATAAAAGCGGCTCTTTCCTTTATTATGTCCAGTTTTGCATTTTACGGAGAGGGCCAAAAAGAGGAGCAAAACTCTCGCGGTTCCGCTTTTTCCTCTCAGGTACGCTTCTATGCATTTCCATACAGTTTCATTCCCAGACAATTTTGAAATGTCAATTCGTAATTCACTTTAATAGTTTTGTTTTTGGTTGACATTTGAAGAAATTTGATTTTATATTTTTGGTTTCATTCGATTCGATTTGCTGCGCTTAAGATTTCGTGTTTCGCAACGGAGCGGTAAATGTTAATTTCGTGATCTGCAATGAGGGAAGTCCGGAGGAATTGAGAAAAGCTAGGGATTTGAATTTAATATGTGTGATTTTTTGGGTAATTAGCTCTTTTATGTCTAAATTTTGAATTTTTCAAAAATAAATACTGGAGATTCGCCATTGCCTAACACGAATGAATGTGCTGAAATCTGGTTAAAGATAACTTGAGTTATTTATACATGGAAAACCTTATCTCTCATTCGATGCAATAAATAGTTTTTGGTGGGAAAATTGCTTGTAAATTGATCTCACTGATCTTTTTGGATAGGTCATCTTCCTTGGTTCCATTAGAGGGTGCAATAATTCTTTTTCTAGCAAGAGCTTTTATATTGAACTGTAGGGATGGCTGAGGTATATTTCAACTTCTGCTTGATTCTACCCTTTGCTCTGTTATATTTTCGTTGCCTGTTTGCACCTGTTTTATACTATGCTTTACAAGGATTTTATTTGGTTTGATAAAGGCTTTATCAAAGACTATCTATGAACGAGTAATGACTTTGGATTGGTGACAGGAGGCTCACAAGGTCACGTTAAATGTGTATGACTTGAGCCAAGGACTAGCTCGGCAGCTTTCAATGACCTTCTTAGGGAAGGTTATTGAGGGAATCTGGTAAGCATTTAGCTTGAGAGGGAAAGATAGTATCTGGATGTTAGAGATTTTTGTTGAAGCCTAACATTTTCTTAAGCATGTTTGTTGTCATGCATCTTACATTAACTCATAAATTGTTGCAAGAAGTTGTGTGTCAAGGCCTCGTTATACTTGTTGTTCATGAATAAAGATGGACAGGTAGGAAATGTATTGTGTCTTTGTTCACGAAATTTATGATTTATAGCAATGAACTGTTCACTGTAAATATATTGTCAACACATATACCCACTTTTATATGGTTAACTGAGTAAATAACTCTGCAAATTAAATTAAGGAGTTAATGAATAACTAATTGTTAGCTTTGAAGCATATACTATAAACTAGCAAACTTCTTCAATTAATAACTAATTGTTACTACAGGATGGGGTGTATTACATGTACTATTTCTCAAATTTGGAAAAAATTCTTTTCCTTATTGTTTGGAGTTGGTAGATAGTTTTTTATTTTCCCAGTTTTATCTTTTGAGCACTTGGTCAGCTTCATCTGAATTTGACTTGTAACCTGTTGCATCTTTTGGTTCAATGCTGGTAAGTATTGGGCCTGGTTAGTAAATGTTAGTTTCTTATTTGAGGTTTTTCTCATCTATGGGATATTAACTTAAGCCAGGCTGAAACTTTATGTGATAATGGTTGTCTATGCCCCTTCCCCCCACTTTCTTTAATTGAAGTTGTTTTACCTCTCTTTGTTGCATGAAATCTTCATCCCCACTTCCATTGTACACATGCAAATTAAAATTAGATGGGGTTCACAGTTGCATTGCTTGCAATACTCATTTTCTGATTTGGTTTATTCATTTATGTTTGCTTGATAGGCATACTGGAGTTGTGGTTTATGGTAATGAATACTATTTTGGCGGAGGAATCCTACATGCTCCTGTTGGGACGACACCATATGGGACACCGATTAGAGTGATAGATTTAGGTGTCACTCATGTGCCGAAAGATGTGTTTGAGATGTATTTGCAGGAGATTAGTCCCCGTTACACAGCTGAGACCTATAGTTTGCTCACCCACAATTGCAACAACTTTAGCAATGAGGTTACCCAATTTCTAGTTGGTTCTAATATTCCAGACTATATTTTGCAGCTTCCTAATGAAGTTATGAGCAGTCCGATGGGTGCACTTTTAAGTAAGTTATTATCTGCTCCCAAATTTTACTTCATTTGTTGTAATTCTGTGGTGAAGTCCCGATGCATATACGCTGTAGGGAGTAGGGACAGCTCTTTTAACCTTTTTCATGTTAATTATAGTGGATTATTGCTGGTTAGTACTTTCTCTAATTTGGGATTTCTTCCATCCAATATAGTGAGTCATGATTTCCATAAAAGAATCTTTCTTCTCATCTTGCGGGAATAACACTAAAATAGCATGCTTGATGAAATAAAATTTTATCCCTCTGAATGTGCTCATTTGCTTTATGCTCTTTCATCTCGTTGTGAGAGTCATGCCAATGTATCCCCCTCCCCCTACCCCCCATTTTTTTGGCAAAAATGGGGAAAACAGCTGTATTTTTGTTCCTTCTTCATTTTCCTGTCCTAATTGAATGGTTTCTGGCATTAGACTTCTTAAATATCGTGCCTCTTGGGTGATCATTGCTGGTTAGTTAAAAGTTTTAGGAGCTACTTTTCAAGTTACTACACTTTTTGCTCCAAAAGTGGAAGACACCTACGTTTTCATAAAATTTTGCTTTTCATGCCTCTTGAAGCATGAACTTAATATGTGGTGCTAATATGGCAAGTTTGTTTATATAGTGCCCATGATACAGAATTTGGAGACAACTTTGAAGGCTGGTGCTGTTCCTCAAGTTCCCCAATTCAGGTCTTCTGTGTCTGCTCAGCCCTCTCAGTCCACAACTGTCAACCTGAGCAGGTCCTCTGACAGTACTCATCAAAAAGAGGATGGCAATAAGGAAAAAGCTGGGGAGCAACCCAACTCCGCGGAAGTCATGAAATCAGAAAAGACAACGCTACCTGCCAAACCAACCCGAGCAGAAGAAAAATCATCAACCAACGGAGCTGCGACAGACCCTCTTGGGGATGCTCGAGCCAAGGTCCAAGAAGAGATAAGCCGTGAATTTGCTGCAATCATGGCTACTGGAACATTGCGTGCTAGTGAGGCAGCAGCACTTGCAACTAGGAAAGTGATGCAGAAATACGGCCGCGTGAATGTTTCTATGCCACAGGGTTAGAAACAGGAAAGACAAAAATATGGAAATTTGGATCTGGACGCCCATTTAAAAAACGAAATTATTTATTATTCGACTTAATCGTCATTTAAAAAATGATTTGAATTTAATTGAATCAAATTGTTGGAAGGTAAAGGTCTGAAAGACCTAACATTATTTACAAGTTTAGGGTCTCAGAGACCTAACACTATTTACAAGTTTGCACTGTATTGATGTTAAGCTGTCAACTGGGTCGATGTTTGGAACAAACGAGGCGTATTCATGCATGTGCAATATATTTTGCCAGCTTATAGTTTGTTAAAAAAAAGACATTTTTTTAAAATAAAAAAATTAATAATTAATAATTAATATTTAAAAATTTTGATAAATAATAATAATAATAAAGGACTTCAGAACAGAAAAAAATTACATGAAATTATTTCCGGTTTATTATCAGATTCAGAGGAAGCAAGTGTTGATGGTATTGCCATGATTAGCATAGGTGGGAGAGGCAAGGCAGCTCTTGCGAAGCTTGCGTACAACGAGGCCAAAGTGCAGGAGTAGATCTTTGATCTGTTTCGCTCAAATCTTTGATCTAAGGCTGCTATTGGTTTCCACGTTCCCGGTTGAGCGAAGATTTAAAAAAGCTTCGGCATCAAAGCAGGTTGCAAGAAAGATTTTTACTTGTTTTAGACAATGCTTGGGCAATAGAAAAAGAATGTATCGGTAGCCAATATATTGCCCCATGGAAATAGAAAAGAATATACTAATTCATTCATCTTGCGAATCTAAGCTTTTATTCTTATACTGCAGCAACACAGCATGTTAGTTAATGGGATAGGCGATGAGGTAAGCCCTTTGATTAATTGTTGAACTAACATTTTCATTTTCTAATTCAAGAGTAGCTTCTTTAGATCTGCCAAAAACATCAGGAGTGTTGATGCTTGCAAAACCAATCATCACAGCTGCAGCTCCAAGGAAATCCATGAGATGAGGAGCATTGCCTATTCTAGGGTATCGACTACTCCTGCCAATGGCACTTGAATGGTAAGACCGGCTGTTGCTACTGTTGTTGTGGTGAGTAGAACAGCTTTTGCCCAGAAATAATCACTCAGCACATTGTCCAACAAACCTATGTATGATATCAGGCATGGAGAAAGCATTGCATGAAATAGTGTTCACTGTACAAGATGACAATGTTATATAATTATCCATTATAAAGGAAATTGCTATTCACCCTTTCGTTTTAACAGAAAAACAACCTTGCAAAGGTGGCAAGATATTATAGTTCCTCCACACTCTATCAGACTCCTTACACATGACGATCCTTGTAAAAAGTAAATTCTATCACTTTCATTTTATTCATCATTTAACAAAATGTAATACTCGACAGTGAATATTCTATAGATGAAATCATATGCACTAGTGCTAAGCTTCTTTCCTCATCAAGGAAATGAAATGAAATGACTCCAATCCAATCAAACATCTTATATCTATATGCATAAATGATGTCATGTGCAACATCTGCGGTTTCCTATGATGTTATGCACTCATGAATGCTATGGCAAAGACAAAATTATGGCAAAGTTTTGATGTGGCAAGCAACTGCATTTATGCTTCTCTTTCCAATTATTCTTATTTTAAATGATTAAAGACTTGAAGCAACAATATAATTCAAGAATCTGTATGAAGAGACAATTTCCTTTGTTCAGAGATTACCCAACTCATTTTACAATGGACATGGACAAAATTCCTTTGTATCTCACATATTATTGATGCACAAATTAGAGGGGATGCTTTTTACATGATTTTGGGGCCACCAGCGACTGAGAATGAAGACTAGTTAGGCAAAAAAATAACAGCAAGATCAATTGAAGCCATCATCACCATATTAGAGGGAAGATTACTTCGCAGATTCTAAAGTCATGCTGCTGATGGTCATAATTATTTGTTTCCACAAACAGTCTCATATCCAACCAATTTTCCAAACAGTTGTGCCAGTTAAGCACAGCTTGTCATGCAATAAATGCCCCAGGATTCATCAGCTCCCACATAAATTTTAGGTTAAAATGTGTCATAAGTCCTAGTACTCTTTGATTTTTAAGAATTTTGTCCCCATAGTATTATTAAGGAATTTAGTACCTGTGTATTGTTAATGATTGAATTGAAATTCTTAAAAAACAATACCACAAGGACTAAATTCCTTTAAATAATACTAGAGGGACTAAATTCCTAAAAATGGAAGAGTACAGGGACCTATGGCACATTTTGACCTAAATTTTAAGGAGAAGTTCAGAAGGGCCAAATCCATAATAAGTTTCTCAAAAGGAAGGACGATGACCAAATAAATGCAGACGAAAATCATCATGTTCCAAACCCACTAATATTTCCTATTACATTGGAATTGGGTGTCACTAGTGACACAAAAAACTAATAAGACACCAACATTTATAAGAGTGAATAACATTCTAGTTAATAAACACTGACCAAAAATGTCACTAATATATGCTGATAAATGAAGTCAAGCACCTTTCTTTTTATAAAGCCTAACATATTAGGTAGATAAATTCAATAATCTCATCATTTAAGAGAAGAAAGCAACTGAAATTGAAAATAAAATTGTATGAACTCAATACAAACCTTTCCCTATAATCAGACCAAACTGCTTCCGAGATAGCATGTTGAGAGACTCTAGCTTGGTGACATTGAGTACAATAGCAAAAGGAAGGAATATTAATAGGTTGAAAAGCCCTAGAAATCCCAGGAATAATGCCATGCTGACACGACCACTCTTTTCATCATTATCAGGCAACTTTTTACGAATAAGTGTAACATATACAGCATACAGAGCAGCTGAGACAAGAGCCAGAATGTCTCCAAGAACAGGGTTTGAAGCAATTATGCTTAAATTCTTGGAGTTGCTAGAGTCACCCAAGTAGACAATAATAGTTCCTGCCATGCAAAGAAGGACACTTACAAGCTTTACCCATGTGAATTTCTCATCCAAGAATGCTAAGGAGACCAAAAATGTGAAAAGGCTGGACGCACTGCTTAAGATGGTGTTAGACAGCAGACACCAAAGGAAAGTAACTAATCAGACAAAAATGACAAAACATGTATAAAGCCTGAACTGAAGCAATCAGTGCAAAATTGCATTATGCTTACTGTAACAGTAGTATGCTTCAATGAGAGATTAAAAGTCAGTTGAGCAAGAAACCAAAATGGGCATATTAGCAGGCTAACTTTAGCCACTCTAGTATGTGTCCATTGCCCCTTTGCATCCAAGTCCGAGTTAGCAACTTCACCTTGACCAGGCAAAGTCTTAGTAAGCTCATTGGAATCATGATCCAAGTGTGAACCATCCTGTTTCTCATTGCTAGATTCTCCCTCTTCCGCAAGTGAGAATTGATTCAATCCATCCACTTTTGTTCCTAAAACACCCTCTCCAAGAAGGATAGCTTGCTCTGATTCTCCCAACTATTGTAAAGGGCTGCTTTTTTTATTTCTCTAAAACACTAAACTTCCATAATTATCTTCTAGATACCGCCTGATTTCAACTAAGGGAATATAAACAATGAATAATGAATTGCAAATGCATGTTATAAGAAATGGTGAAACATCAGCATCAACAACAGACTGTACCACAAAACTAGCAGCTATCTAGATAGCTGCAACAGCGAATATGTACAGCAAACCTAAAGACCATTTCCAGAGTTTACTTGTCATTTCTTTTGAAGCCATTACTGAATCAAACTAGCTCCCAAGGTCACAATATTTCCAGAAAGATCAAAACATTGTATACCAATTACCAAACTTCAAATGTTAGACCCATAATGGAAGACACTCTTGTAAATGGAATATCCAAAAACCATTATCATAATTCACATCAAAATTTGAAGCCTGCCTAAAAAAAAAAAAAGAAAAAAGAAAAGAAATGAAAAGAAAATAAGCAAACGGCGGAAAGCTTGCAACAGAATGAATTTCGAGGTCAATCCCAGATTAAGAAAACCAAACTAATAGACATTTTAAAGAGAACCCATTTGCAAGTTCATCAAATCAGGGTTATTCATTATCCAGTCATGTCAGAAAATTAGAAATACAGATTAGAAATACATCACAAGTAACCAATTAAAAAAAAAAAAGAAAAAAACTTTAAAGTGCTAAACTATGATAATCATAACAAATAAAACTGCGCATAAAAAATTTACCTGCCCCTGAAAATCGACTTGAAATTGAATGTTTATATTGTAACTACATTGACGGATTTTTTAAATTGGATTTTCTTCTTTTCTTAGTTTCGTTTTCTGATTTTTTTTTTCAGGTTCGGTTGAGAGAAAAATGGCCGGGTTATTAGCTCGTTCTGGCCCACCTAGACTTGTCCATTTTATCTGTTTTGGTGGCCCAGTTATGTAAATCTTGGAAATAATGAGTTCATAAGAATAATAAAAAGTAAAAAAAAAAAAAGAATTTTTAACACCATTATTTATTTATTAGGTTCCCATTTTTTCATTCAATTATTAAACTATTGGCATTATTTCAGTTCTAATTTTTTATTTTAAAACAGCATATATTATCAAAAACATGTTTCCCTTAATATAATTCTATTTTTTGAGCATGTTTTATTTATAGGACTTGCCGTTTATTAGTACTAAATTATGTGGACATTTGAGGAAAAAATAAAAAATAAAAAATGGAGTTAATTTAGGTATTTGCCAATTAAACAAGATCCTAGGATTTAGTTTACTTTTACTTGTTTCTTACACATAATGATCCTAAATAAGTAAACTTCAAAGGAAAGTTATGGTCAAAATAATAGAATGATGATAATTTTGCCCACATATTACTAGCAATCGATAATAGAATATGAGTGCATGTTGCTTATAATTTTTTATTATATTTTATAATTAACTAACTATATTAAAGAATTATATAATAGTTTACTACTTATAATTATAAGTTTATATAAAATTTTGATGAATTACGCATTGTTAAATTGTGATTAATTTATTGCAGTGTAATTATTGTAAGTAATATCCAAAAATCCAACACATAAAAATCCAAGAAAATCTCATTCACAATCTTATTTACATCAGTGTGTTAATCTTTATTTGCATTAACTCAATATTTTATTCACAATTCAACACCATCTTTGCAGGTTAGCTGAGAAAAAGAATAGAAAAAAGAAATGGTATTATGTGATAAAGCCTGGAGGAACATGAACCGTAGGGAGATATCTATATATATCATGGAAGGGACTTTGCATTTATGTTAGGCGAATTTCTACAACATAGCGCTATTATTTTGTGACTCTGCGTGCTTCGAAGTTGAGCCCCATTCTATGGCTTCTGCCACAGCTCGTTGGCGTTCTGTCTTGCTATCTTCATCATAAATTTCTCGGTTTGGTGTCTTGTCAGATTCCGGGGAAGGAAAAGAGGAAGCAGCAGTGCTTGCATCTGGAACATTTCCAAGGAAACTGAGAGCAGTGACCACATCACTTATCAAGGGACGTACCTCTGCTTCTGCTTGCAGGCACATGGCTGCAACTGCAACTGCTTGATGCAAGCCTCTTATAGGGAAATCTCCTTCAAGAAGTGGATCCACCAGTTGTGGGAACCTACAGGGTTCCTTGAACAGTGGTTGTGCCTGGTAATGGAACGAAAAAGATTAACAACTCTAGAAGTTATGACAATAAATTCTCAGCAGACGACAAAAGAAACAGGAGGGAAAAGCCTGGAAAAGTGACCTACCCATGTAACTAGATTTTGTTCTTTGTTTGATCTTGAGGTTTCAATGGCTCTCCTTCCAGTGATTAACTCCAACAAAACGACCCCGAAACTGTAAACATCTGATTTCACTGTTAACTGCCCTGTTCTTTGATACTCCGGGGCACAATATCCATATGTTCCCATGACCCTGGAAGATACATGTGTCTTGTCCCCAATAGGTCCTAGCTTGGCTAACCCGAAATCGGAGAGTTTGGCTTTGACCTCTTTATCCAGCAAGATGTTGGAGGATTTCAGATCTCGATAGATGACAGGGGGATTGGCCTTATTATGCAAATATTCTAAACCTTTAGCAGCACCTAATGCTATTTTCATTCTGGCAAACCAATCTAATGGCTTTTGATCCGGTGTAAGATCTGAAATTCAAAACATTTTAATTATATTCATAACAAAAAAAAAAGTCAATTCTCTGGTTCTTTTCACTGATGAATGCTGTTGCATCCCTTTCCTTCTAACATCTAAATATATTTTTCTGGCTTCATCATCTGGCACAAAAGAAATAAAAAGAAAAAAGAAAGTACCAAGTAGATGGTCCTCTAGAGATCCCAATGGCAAGTATTCATAAACCAGAAGCCTCTGATCTCCATCGGCACAATATCCGATGAGATTGACCATGTTTGGATGGTGCAACAGGCTTAGCATCAACACCTCAACAAGAAATTCTCTGTTTCCTTGCAATCCATTTCTATCAAGCTGCTTTACAGCTACAACCTAAAATGAAGCAACCCCATGTGACTACACAGATTCCTAAGATATACAAGCCATGAAGGACTATACATTACCTGGCCGGTTTTATCAAGTTTTCCCTTATAAACTCGCCCAAATCCACCTTCCCCTATCAAACATTCTTGTCTAAAATTCTTGGTTGCTGTAGCCAATTCACGGAAGGTGAAAGTTTGTGCTGCAATGTTGTTGTTACCGCTGTCTTTAGGGCCATCAGCATTCTTTGTAGGTTCAGGTGCTGGGGTCTTTGGTTTAAGAATATTCTCTGCTGTAAGAAAGACCACACATTCAAAATTTTGGTTCCTTATCTTTTGAGTTGGAGAAATACTAAAAACAAAAAGGAAATTGCATGTCTTTTTAATATGATTATGCATGCACGGCAAGGTAACAATAATGCATAACGTCTTGCACCCAAGTGCTTACAACTTCAGTTCAAAATTTCAAAGAAAACATGGGAAATGAAATTTCTTGCCCTAGGCTAAACCTTAAAATGCAAGAAAAATGCAGAAAAGGAAATCTCAAAAGAATGTTGAAGCAATTTGCATTGCACCTCAACATTTTGCTCGATGGGTGATGCATGATCTTCTATCTCAAAAAGCATGTAGCGAAATCCAAAAGAAGAAAAAAATTAATTCATAACATGCCATCTGTAGTGTAAATTCAGAGGAATGTTGCATACCATCTGGGGACCGTGGCTGTGGAGGAATAGTTTCTGTTTGAGCAGAGTTGTAAGAAGTCTGAGCATTTCTGCTGCGACTGTTTAGCCATTTAGATGCCTTCTTGTCGTGGGAAGAAAAACATGAAAAACAATTCATTTCTTAGGATTCCAAGTCCAAAATACTCCTTTGATATATTTTTATATCTTTTCTCCTTTCTATGGTGTAAAACTATATCTCAAACTTCAATGATCCAACAATCTAAAGGAAACTGGCTGTATTTAATCACAAATGCCTCTAAAAACAAACTCCAAATTGGCTTGGATTTAGCGATGTTATTACATCTTCATTGTATGCCAGCTCCTAACAAAAACAATAATAAATAAATAAGAAGTACCTCAAGACCTGGACTATTAACAAACTATAGGAGGTTCCAGGGAGAAATCCCAAATCCCAGATCATAAAAACTCCATGGAACGCTAAGGTGATCAAAAGAAATATTCACCTCATAATTGAAACAAAGAAAAAAGAGCAAAACGTGTTTAGTAATGTTATCGTTGGTTAGAAATGAAACGAAAAAAAAAGGTTTGTTCTTTTTTTAGAGAGGAAAAATCCGTGGAAAATGGAGACAAATTTGGAATTCTTTATTTTTGTGGAGATTGTATATTTGCAATGCCCTTTTTTTTTAGTACAAGAAAGAACACTACGACTCGAACATTAAATGTTAATGTTTGTTGAACTTGAATGCATTAAGATGGCATTAAAATTCAAAGTTTAAAAAATAAAAAAGAGATGAAAATAGTTCTCAGGCTTAGGCTTGAAGCAAGACAGAGTGGGTGGCATGGCATTTGGTACTAGGATTCATGATTTTGTCCAACTCGGTTTTGGAGGTTGTAAGCTTAACGTGGGTTGAACTAATGAGGAATTCATTCAACAAGGCCAACAAGTTAAACCCTTTCATATTCTTTGTCTAGTTAAACAAAGAAGTCAGAGGTTCCACCATTTTGCCAACAAGTAATTGAGGTATGTTACTAAGAGACTGCTCAAAACTTGAGCAAGACAATATGTTTAACGTTTGCGAAATTTAAGGAGTATGGTAAGAACTCTGGGGAAAAAAGGATATAACATGTTCATAATAGAAATATAATAAGAAGATAGAGAAATTATCAAATATATTGATAATGAAATTTTTTAATTTCAGATTAACAAAACACATATATCCTTTAATGTATATTTAAAAAAATAAAATAAAATAATTAAAAAAATGAAACATATCTCACTTTATTAATATTATTTATAAAATTAAAAAATTTTACTAATAGTGCATCAAATAATTTTTATGAGAAGAGTTACCTTCGATTGATAATTAAAAAACTATTATCCCCACACTTTATCAGATGCCAAGGACACATTAGCATCTGGGAACCATGCTCTTCACTGACAAAACCAAGCGTAGTCCTGATCCAGGTCCACAAATTAGTACTTTTCTTGTTGCTGCTAGATGTTAGATAAACTGTTTCCAAAACCCTCTTTTTCAAATCAGCTCTCCTGATGGCATGATTCTTAGCAGATAGAGACAAAACGAGAGAATAATAATTAAACCCTAACTAAAATAACACTTCGATATCTCAATGGCATGCTACCAGACAAAATGCCAACAAAGGAAGAAAAACTTATTCTAGTATATCATATTGCCTAAAAATGATTTAACAAGAAATCCGACCGACATAAAGAAGGTAAGTAAATAAATCCCGAGCAACTATAGGATAGAATTTCGAAGAATTTATCACTTTTTTTTTTATATTTATCTAAAAATAATCATGTAACAAAGGAATATCTGGGAGAACAGTGACTCCAATGTTGAGAGCCTAAGATGCATATTAAACACATCACGAGAATTGTCATAATCATTAAAATGAAAAATTGTTTCTCAGGAATCATTACAATTCTCATAGATTTAGGATTTAAACCCCAAGACTGTAGTCCCTCGAATTTAAGATGCAATATGAAAGCATACTAAGACCCTAAGAATATACGTCCGAATCTACAATAAACAGGCAATCATCAGTGGGATTGTAAAAGGAAGCAGCTTTGCAGACTCAAATTCACCATCCTCAAAACCTGGGGAAGAACCAATCTGACATAAAAGATTTAGTTTGAACCTAAATTGCTTTGTCCCCTATTTCAGCTTATAGATAACGGGAAAAATTGAATAAAGGGTAACAAGGATATAAGAAAGCTTTGAACCTGAAATTTCACGTCACCAGCCGTGAATGACTACTAGTGAATCAAGTAAAAAATGTAGGTGCATTCATTGGAGATTATTCAACAGTTTTTTACATTGGTGACGAGGAATTAACTGCCGAAAGGACGCTGACCCGACCTATTTCAGTTCATTGACGTTATGTAGCCAAAAAGGATAAAATGAATCAATTTGAAAGTTTCTTTCAACTTTTTGCTTTCTTCTTTTCAGAAGGAAACCTTTATGATTTTTACACTTTGATAAACGATAAAAGTGATAAAAGAAAAAGACGGTTGGGCAAGTAAACGATTTTTCTTCGTTCCATTTCTAATTGTTGCAGTATATACTAAAAATTGTCAGTTAAAAATTTACATAGTTTAGAATAACCACCAGCCCAAATATAAGATCTTAAAACAGCCACTGCAACTTATTGCAACTTATTGCAACTTATTGCAACTTATTTGTTTAAGTCCCATACTGGCACACTCAAAAATCTTCCCATCGCCATCAAATATAATTATCGATGATGATTGCTGTCAGAAAGGAACAGGCGCTCACCACTTTCATCCGGCGAGACACGCGCTGTAAGAAAATGAGAGCTTTCAGAATACTGTGTTTTTAATTTCATCCCATCACTTTAAACTAACAAGAAAGCCATTACTGTTCTTAAAAATGATATTAACTAGATTGATAATCATTCGGTTTTAGATAAACCAAAGTTCCTGTATTTAGCAGAGTTTGATCTCATTATTTTTTCAAATTCATTTGATCCTCTTACAACATTGCTGAAAAGTTGATGCACTATATGGAAAATCACAAGAAATAGTGCCATAAAAGAACTATACCAGGGAAGTAAAGAAGTAAATTCCTCAGAGCATTGCACAAATCGGGTTCCTTAATGATCTTAGCTTCTTTTGCCCAGGAGCTTTTCAAATTATGAAGTGCAATATTATTGACCTGGTATTGCACACTTAACTCCTCAATGGCTGCAAAAGGGCAGCAAAATCAGAAGATAAGAAAGGTAAATATATGTGTACATACATGCATGGAGAATTGTGTGCCTACATTTGCACCTGCAAATGCCATGCAAGTGCATAAATACATGTAAAAACAAAGTTCAGAAAACCATACTCATCTCTAGATGATAATCACAGCAAGAAGGGAATGAAACTTAAAGAGAAGGGGAGGTTGGAAAAGCCATAAAAAAGAAATGGTTCAATATGGCAACAACCATGTTGAAAGGAAGAGCATGTCAAAAACTAGAAGCTTAGGGAATAGGAACGGCTATACAAGAGGAGAGAAGGAGAAAATAAAGGGAGGGGGGGGGGGGGTTAGGATATAAGAACACAAAAGAGAGAAACACAAAGATAGAGAAGAATTTAGTACAATACAACTATGGGTCCACCATCTCATTTTCAGGCTTTATAAGTTATCTATGCCACAATGATAAATATTCTGTTGGTCATAATTTTTGAAAGAACTAATTCAAATCAATTACTTGAAACAAAAACTTCAACAGGTTTTTTCAAATAAAAGATATGAACAAGGAAATACAACAACTGAAAATCAGTCAATCAAGTACTTAGGATACGATCTTGATGAAGTTAACCATCCTAACTCCAATAGATAGCCCACATTCATAAGTTATCCCTCTAATGATTTTGTCAATGTTCAAATTAAGAAAGCTCAAAGTACACTGAATTATATTTAGAATTTTGGAGTCAAAAGGCTTTAAATTTTGCATGAGAAGTAATATCTCAGTTGTTCTAAAATGTACCTACGAAAATCTAATTTTCATTATTATTTAATTAGTTGACTTTGTTAATTTTAGTTAAATCTCTTCTTTTTAGAATAAAAAATGATTTGGGTAATTACACCAAATTCATTAGATATTTTTCTATTATATGTAGAGAGTAAATTACTCCTTTAATTAGCTATTTTAATGCATGAATATTTTGGTTTTTAAAACTGAGAATGTTCGGTCTTTATCCTATATATTTCCATACAATTCTAGCATTGTAACAAGAAAACTATAAAATAATAAAATAGTTTTATTTTAGAGATTTTTTCATGATATCAAAGCATAATCTAAACCTCTTAAAATTTTCACTTGGAGTCTAGCATGGCCAGTCGAATAAAATCGTGGTGTTGGAGGTTGCCTCTAACCCTGGAGCTAACATTTCCTAACCATTACAAAACATTACCACTCCTATTCGAACTGATTTTTTAACACAAAAAGGTAATTTTTTAAGTGCTTTGAGTGTTAAACCAGAGAAATCAAATTTATAAATTGTAGATTCAGGAGCTTCAGACTATATGACTGGAGATCCATCTATTTTTAGTAAATATAAACCATGTCATGAAAACTTCGCAATTCAAATTACTGATGAGTCACTTTTAAAAATATCGATACAGGTTATGTTATTATTTACAAAGAGATAACACTTGATTTTGTTTTGTTTGTCCCAAATCTAAGTTACAATAAACTGTCTATAAGAAAACTTACAAGAGACCTCAAGTATATTACTAAATTTCTTTCAAATATGTGTGAATTTTAGGATTTGGACTCGAAAAAGATAGTTGGCAATGCTAAGATGTGTGTAAGACTCTATATCCTAAAAGCTAATGATTCTGAAAGATAATATCAAACAACCTCTTGTGTAACTTTATCTTTTAGTAATAATAAAAATAGTACTATCATATTGTGGCATTATCAGTTAGGTCATCCAAATTTTTTGTACTTCAAAATGTTGTTTCCTTCATTATTCAATCAAAATCATAACAACTTTCAGTATGAAATCTACCAACTATCCAAACATACTTGTACCACATACCTTAATCAGCCTTATAAGTTATCTCATCTTTTTTCAATGATACACAGTGACATTGGAGGTCTCTCCATGGTAAATAATATTAC